CAAATATGATAAAATTAATTTGACCCATATTCTACACAGAAAGTCATTATTTGTTAGAGTGCATCCCACATCGGAAGTTCAAGAGTAAAATAACCGGTATATAAGCTCTTGAGTTGGACTAACTAATCGATTGGATTCAATCTTTTAATGTGGTTCGACCCAAGTGTCTTATTGCCCAATCCAGTTGTCCATACCCATCCTAAATTCTATCATGGTATCGGAGCCAGTTTTAGCCCACCTCGTTTGTCAAGGTGTCCGTCTAGACGTTTATTCCTAGCGGCCCGTTAGTCTTTAGCCCAGTTGTCCGTATGGATGTTGTACCCAACGGCCTGTGGCCTGTTTAACACGATTGCTCGTCTGGAAGTCTATACCCAGCGGCTCGTGGTCCTTTAGGTGTTGGCGCTCAAAAAAAAAGTCAAGGGAATGGGAGTTCATTTGCAAGTGGTCAACCGGTTAGATTCAAAATGGCCCGGTTGTCCACTTGAGGGGGAGTGTTAGAGTGCATCCCACATCGGAAGTTCAAGAGTAAAATAACCGGTATATAAGCTCTTGAGTTGGACTAACTAATCGATTGGATTCAATCTTTTAATGTGGTTCGACCCAAGTGTCTTATTGTCCAATCCAGTTGTCCATACCCATCCTAAATTCTATCATTAATATTTGTAAAAAAGTTATTGTGAGTAAACTACTTTTCGTGTCACTCACAATCTGTTCATTATTATCTACTCCGTATTTTTGAATTTTGAAACAATATGTTTATCTCCAAAGGTGAAATCGCTCACCCCGGGCGCCCCTCACCCCCGACCCGACGGGAATGTGAGAGGAGGTAAATCACGGTGACCCAAGCAACAACACTTAGCTAGACCATATCCTAGTGCGCACCAGAGACTCCCCCCATTTTTCAGAGGTGGTCGTCTCTACAACGGTCGCTGCCAGGTTTCGATCCTTAGTCATTCTCCAAACTTCACCAAGTGCTTGCCACTTGGGCTACCCGTGCGGGTTTGAAACAATATGTTTCTCAATTTACGCCGGACTAGTCATCTATAATACCCCACCTAAAAAACCTTAAAAATGATAAATCTTGACTATTTCATCCCTTAGGTTAATACTCCGTATGTTGCATGTATATTTTTTTTGTGCACTAGTCAGTTTCTCATTGTTGATTTCCTTTCTAAGTGGAGAAAGAACCTAATTCTTCCTATTTTGGTGAGCATAATTTTCCGTAAATCGTGATTAAGGTTGAGAAAAATTAACACTGAAAGTCAAACTGAAAATATTCAAAAAAAAAAAACTGGGGAATATTTTTTTTTAAATAAAGATCTCTTCTTTATTTAATTATACTCCGTATAATATCTTTTTGATGTGAGTGGAAGGAACCTATGAGAATCGGAAGAGAACCAGCTGGTCCGACCGCTGTTAATGGGGCAACCACATACCCCGGCCCGGAGTAGTCTTTAATTAAGTGGATGTAATGTTTTCTTATGGTTTCAAAACCTTAATTAATCAATGTTTGACTATAAACCTTATTAAGCATGCATGCTTCCCTATGTCCTGAAATATTTTTTTCATTTAACTTTTTTGATCAAAATTTGTGAACGTTGATTACGATATGTCAAAAAAAATATAGTGTATTATGATATAAATTTAATATGAATGTATTAATATTGAAACATAGTTTTCAAATATCAATTTTTTTTTTGAAATATATCTATGAATAAATGTAGATATTTGTAGTCAAAGTACAACATTGAAGACCGTGAAAATTAAAATCAAAAAAATATTTCTTGAGGAAAGAGAGAATATTATAAATCTCATATCTTTGTGAGCTCGACTTTGACCCCTCCTCCGTACACACCCAAGAAAAGATGAGAAATTCAATGACTGCTAATCTAACATGGAAGTGGACCTCCAACATTGCTATCATAAATTAATTAAATAAAATAATCATATTCAATTTCATAATGCACACGAAAAACCGAATGAATATTTAGAAGTGTGGGTACATCAATATTGTACAATTATGCTTCATCTCATATCTCATATTAGAGTGTCTCAATAACTCATACTTATAATGACGTCATTATCTTACTTGAGATCATTTTTCTCTTTTAATTAATAATGTTCATAAAGAGAATATTTGTGATGTCATTATCATTATTGTTTCTGGTTCTAGCATTTTCGTCAAAAACATGTACGTGTATCAAATTTCCTATATCATTTACACAAAAATTTAAGTATACACGTACATTTTTTGCTTTTTATGTGAAAGTAATTTCGAAACAACATTATTATTTTAAAAATAAAAGTATTTTTCAATAATTACAAATTTTTTTCACAAAGTGCAATAGTATTAGATATTATAAAAAATGTATGAAACTATATATGAACCCAGTCAACTCACAAACCCGAAAGATATTCTTGTACCTAGACTACTATGAGTATATACCTTCATACTTAGGCTCATTCTTTGCGTATGTAAAATTTAATATTTATATTTAGTCATGCTAAACCAGAAAATCTTTTGAGTTAAAATAAATTTATTACAGTAGACAAGAGCTGTTGATTTTTTATTAATACTCTTTTCGTACGAATTTAAATCGTTTTTGTTGTTTACTAGGTTTGACTGGAATTATTTTTATCTTAATTTTGTTGAAAATGTGTATGGAATCAAAAATAAAATTTGTATATTAAAAAATGATATCAAAAGATCTACAAAATAAAATATGACTAGATTATACTTCCTCCGTCCCGTAAAAAAAATTCTCATTTTCACTTTTAAAGGATTTAAGGAGAGTGTATTTTGGTGTTGACTTTCCAAAAATGCTCTTTGATGTGATACATAAAGTAGGATGTGATGAGTGTGATAGGTAGGTTCGAAATTAATATCGGTAAACGTGACTTTTTAATTGAAAATAGAAGTTTTTTTGGGACGGATCAAAAAAGAAAGGAGAAAGATTTTGTGAGACGGATGAGGTATTTTTTTTATCAAATGAATAATAAAAATAGATTAAAAAATGTGATTGAAATTTAAGCACATGAATGATGAATAGATAATATAATTAAATTGAAGTGAAATTTGCACTAAATAGGACTAAAACATAATGACTTTTCTAATGTAGGACTTAAACTTTTTTATTCCCTAAATAGGACTTATTAATGACCTAGTGGAAGGAATAATGTCCAGTAATGATAGATATTTAGTTGAATAATGACTACTTGATAATGACCAAAGGTCCTACATTGGGAAATAAAAACATATGGTCCTATATTGGGAAAGTCATTATGTTTTAGTCCTATTTAGGTAAATTTCTCTAAATTGAATTAAATTGAGAGCGAAGGAGTAATAGAAAGATTTTTGTTGGACACAAAGTTGATGTATAGATATGGTACTGATTTATTAGAGCAATGGAATAGTGGTAATTGTAATCAAGAACCAAATTAAGTCACATAAATGGACCATCCTAGCTAGGTACGTAGCTTGGTTGGTAGCTGTTAGGGGGTTAATGAAAATCATAAGGTAAGTTGTCCTCCAATCCCAACGTGGGATCACAATAAAGTCAATACAAAACACATCTCCCATCTATGGTCCCATCTTCGAAACCTCTCTTAGACTTAGCTGGACGGTCACTAAGAGAAGTAATTTGGACCTCAATCGTAGATTCCTAACACGGTGTGAAGCCTGCTCATGACATTTGTAGATGCTTTATGCTTAGTATAATTATCTCTCCGTGTAGTTGATAGAAATCGAACTTGGTTTACCCACTGACACTCCTAGTTTTTTGCCTACTGCACAACACTCACTGACATTATATTCCCATTTTACACTTTTTAGATTCGCAAAAAGCATAGAGAATCCTATTTTAAAGTCACCTTTGACACTAAATATATATATATATATATATATATATATATATATATATATATATATATATATATATATATATATATATATATATATATATATATATATATATACTGGCAATATTTTTTTTGTACAAGAAGTGTTTGTATTTTTCTTTGATGTATGTCAACATAGAATTTTCGTAAAATGCTGTATCAAATATGAGGTTCCCTAACTTTTTTCAATGTTAAAGAGTAAAATTATGTTTTCATAGACTGAGCATAACTCGTGTTAAACAATATTACTCCGTATTTTCGCTATCAAAAGAAATACTTCCTTTGTTTTAAATTAAAATATCTCTTTTTTCTATTCACATGGTCAAACTTCGTTCACTTTCTTTCCCTGTTTTTGTTAGTCATTTCAAAAAATTATATAGTCATGTCACCACTACTGTTGTAGATCATTTGATCTGTTTTAAAATATTTAATTTTTTTAAATTCCAAACCATTTTTCATATAAAATAATCTGAAAATAATTTCAATTAAATATCGTAAGACGAAACAAGTGATTTAAATTGGGACGAAGGAGCATTTATTTTAATTATTTATCTATAAATTTGTATAGAAATAAAAAAAATATAAATTACATGTTTAGAAAAATTAAAAGCTCAATAAAACAAGATGCTATAAACTTTATTTTACTAAACGATCGATGAAAACATATTTTTTCTCAAATAGTATAAGCGTAAATTATTTCAGAACGAAGAGAGTGATACACTTTCTTTCTTGGTCTCTTCAAAGTAAAATTTTGTTTCCCCCTTTTTGAAAGAAATTTGTGACCATTATTATTTCTCTTTCAAATCAATTTAATAGGGAGCAAGTCTTTTTCATTTTTAACGTTTTTGTAAACTCCGTGTCTAGTCAAAATAGGCTTTTAATTTGGGACATGGGTACGTAGTTGGAATGTTGGATACTTTATCACACACATTCCGTCCAAAAACAAAAAAGATTTCATAATGATTTATGAAATTTTAATTGAAATTATTTTTTAAATCAAATTTGTATAATACTTGTTGTATTATTTCAAAAAAAAAATTATATGCTCAAAAACAAAAAAGATCTAAAGAATAAAAATATGAGATAGATGAAAAAGGAAACCGCAAAAGAGTTAAGCTTCATTTTACGGGGGTATGGAAGATTTTGAGCGTTACGCCGCCCGTCCAATTCTGGTTGAAGTACGGCCCATAATTGCAGCCCATTTTAGGTCAATTAAATCTCGATGCTCCTTGAATATATTTACATTACAGGCCTGGGCTTATTATCATGGCGCTTCATCACCATTGTCGTGGCCCAACTCGACCCATATAGCCCGCCTGGTAAAACTTCATCACCGTTGAACACTTGAACTGATCAGCCTGATCTAATGCATGTTTGACAACTTCAACATTTCAAGAAATCAAGAATGTTATCTTATGACAGTATTTATCCTTAATGTTTTTATAATTAATCTATATTATTATTATTATTAAAAATCCAAAATACTAATGCTGATTATAAACTTTGTTTCCAAAGAAGACTATAATAACACAAAACAATTTAATACTGCTCGTTCCCAAGGGATCCGATACATAAATAACACACTCCTTTCGCATGATATCCCGAACAAGACCCGTAACTTTTACCAATTAGGTTTCCACGCGAAGATTTTATACTCCGTATTGTTTATCATATCTGTCATACTATACGCGATTTAGCCGTTCTTTAACCCATCGCCATCTTTTGTAGCGTCATCGTAATCACGTACAAGAGACGAAATTTGGACCTTTTCTTTGAGAGATAGGAAAGATGGAAATAATTGTGGGACATTTACCATAAACATGTGAAAGCCATTCTTTTATTGTAATGCAATGAGCCAACAAGCACTACAATATTATAAAAATACATAACATACATAAAGATGAATAAACAGAAACACCAACCAATTCCTTCAAGCGTCCATCATCTGAATCATCGATGAATATCTAGAAGGGGAGACACACACACACACACACACATATGCACATGTATGTATAGAACTGCATTAGCATGCACTGACCTGCAATGAGATTTCGTTTGAGCAGTGATTCAGATGAAATACTACCAATCATCTTTAACGATTTTTGACTTCTCGAGAATGAACTTCCCTTCCTTATACTTCTGTGTGGGCTCGTACGCTCGTTCATATTTCCACCCCAACAGCTCCCCGCAATCTGTACAGAACACATCAGCCACCGTGTGAAGACCGGTTGTTAGTTGTCTGTCTTCTTTTCTCCCCACATCGACATTCGTCACATGAGAAAACAGAAAGGCTCTTCCATTCCTTCCCTGAAAAGAATGTCGGTCTATAGATCTTTAGGGTATATAACTCCAAAAATGCCCTAAGTTCACAAACAGATCCACAAGCTCTTGATTTGTACTTTTTACCAAGCTTCCAAACTCGTGAAAATAAAAGTTATACTTCGAATACGTATATGTGTGCACTTGTTGTCTTGTTGAGTCTATCAATTGTAAAACAGCAACTACTGGGACATATAATCAACAATGTATATTTTGAATATTTCAAAACAAATGTAGCATACATATGTGAACACTTCTTGATCAGGAAAAAACATCGGTTACGCTTCAATTTTAGTACACGACGTAGTAGAATGACCACATTTATAAACTACGCAGTAAGTAATTTTTCGAAGGCTTGAGATCGTAGGCCCGGCTTGGAGGTTTTTGGAGTTGGACCTCAGCCCAAATCTGATCCAGGGTTACGTCGGCCTCCCAAGCTCAGAAGGTAGCCCAGCATTGCCAGTTGATCTCTCTCTTTCAGTTCGGCCTCACCTGAGCTACCTGGCGGGTCAGGGCTAGCGTGGTTGTCCGGCATACGCCCTCCAAGCAAAGAGGCCAGGGTTAAAGAGAAAAAGGTTATGCGTAGGAACGTTTATGGATAGCAAGTCCCCACGCACTCACGATACTATAAGGGCCTGTTTGGTTCGAGGGGAGGGGATGAATGGGAGGAAAATGGAAGGGATGGGGAGGGTTTCCCTTCACTTTATTTGGTTGGGAAAGGGAAGGAATTCCTATGAAAGATCTTGAGAATTTAGAGCCTCAAGTGGGTTCTCAGTTTGGAGATGGAGAAAGCTTTTAGTTTTGATGGCACCATCATGTGAAATTTGTCTTATCCAAGCTGACAAATGTTTATTGCTAGAAAATTTTTACAGCACATTTGAAGAGGATCTTGGAAGTGGGAATGGAGGAGCAAGATTGGGTCTTCCAGGATTGGAAGACTTCTTGGGAAATGGAGAAGAACTTCATGGAACCGTATAAAGAAGAATGAGAAGTATGATTCGGGTGGGGACTGTTGGAGAAGAATGACGAACAGGGGAGGAAGATGGTGGCAGGCTATCAATCCGTCCGGTTAGGAAGTTACGAGAAGAAGGGGAGGGAAGGGAATGATAACAAAAAAATCAAGGTCCCCTCCCTTTCAATATTTTAAAACCAAACAAGGGGAAAGATCCATTTTTCCTCCCCTTCCTTCCAACCAAACATGCCCTAAAAGTCCCAACGCTTAAGTGATAAACCATATTCTCTGAAACCCTAGCTTCTTTGCCGAGACATCGTGATGAATAACAATCACATAATTAAACACGTGGAAAATCTGAACAAGAAATCTAAATTCAACAGCAAATATATTTTTCTTTTGATTTTTCCGATTCCAAATTTATTATATTCGATTTAATTGTTTAGTTTCCATAGTGCACAACTTTCGTTTGCAACTTAGAGCCGCCGTCAAACGGCAGAAGCAGCTGAACATGACCCCCTGAGCTGGAGGTGCGTGCAGCTCACGGAGTCACGGCGGTTTTATTGCTACGGATCGTCGTGCCAAACATGTTTATTTAATGTGCATATATTTACTAAACAAAAGATTAAATATACGTTGGAACAAATAGCAAAACCAAATCACTCTATAAACAAATCCATCAAATCTTGAATGCAAAAACACTTCTTGCTAAAATAAAACGCCAAATCTGTTCTGTGGACAAATTCTAACAAGTCTCGAATCTCAAACACAACCAACCCACAGACAGCTACATAGATCATAAAATGGGTTACCTGAAAGTCCTTCGAGATTATATCATCATGAACAGAAACACAAGTTCTGCAGTTGCAGCAGCTGTAGAGCCGAGGTCCAATCATTCCATCCATGAGACTAAGAAGAACACCACAGTTTCTAGTTCCTACCAGAATTCATCAAAATCCAACAAGAAATAACCGTAAGGAATGAAACTTTGATTTAGACATTTGGAGAGCAAAAATCAGGAGTGGAAACTGGAAATCAAAATAATTTGGAGAGAGGGAGTGTGAATATACCTGAAATTCTATAACTTGCAGCGATTTTGGGACTGCGAGGTAATCTGATGTTAAGGATAAGAACAACAGAGTCTATCGTCCACGACAACCATTCGCCGTACGGCGAAGTGTTTGTGTATGCAATATACAAATATGGTAAAAACAAATAAAGAGAAATTTACAATACTATTTTCTTAATATAAAATTATATGTTTTTATTTTTCAATCTAGAATTTTGATCATTATCAATTAGTCATTATTCAAGTAAATGTCCATCATCATTAGATATTATTCTTCCCACTAGACATTATTAAATCTTATTTAGGGAATAAAAAAGTATAAGTCCTACTTTAGGAAATGATTTATGTTTTATTATAAATGCCTTAAAAATAAGTAATTTAAATCTATTTATTTTTTATTTATAATTTTAAAACACGTTAAACTTATAAATTAACAGTTACTTATAAACTAATAAAGTACTAAAAAATGAATTTCATGTTTTTATTAATTAAATAAGAGTTCGCACTCTGATAATGTGACACTGTACATGAACATTTTACTAAACTTTTTTATAATAATATACATGGTCATGATTGGTAATGTAAATATATTTTAATTTTCTTGTTTGGAAATGAAAATAATTTTCTTGTTTGGAAATGAAAATATAGAACTCCTTAATATATTTTTAATGTTATATTCTTATTTTATTCTTTTCCCATAAATCAATTTGATTAGCTAATAAACACAAAGAAACACTCATATGACGACTTCATCATAAGCCATTTAAATAATAACATTAGAGGTTAGATTCATTGATTTAAATGTTTGAAAGTGTTGCTTGATGACATCATTTTATTTTAATATTCCGTATATATTTTTTAAAAAAACTTTACATCATTAATTTTTTATTGGTAGTGCTCTTTCCAATCAAGTCCTATGTATATATTAGAATCCTTTTGAGTTTAGGAGATATCACTTCTCAAATGGCAATCACTTTCAGCCATTAAGTTTCACCATCATCGTCAACTCGTCACTCCCTCATCCGCGATCATACTTGTCGTCACCAACCACCACCACCGACTACTCATTGTTTGTGAATTTTATTTTCAAGTAGTTATATGTTTTGAGTACTTTTTGTGATATACATTAAATTCAAAAATATTAAAACTCAACATTTTTATTAAAGTTATGCTCGAAATGTTAAAACTAAACGATGAAGTTATTAATGTCAAAGTGACGCATAATCCAAAACTAGTTCAGGTATTATTCGTTGGCAGTTTTTTTCATCTGTTAAAAGAGAAACATTGTAAAGTTACTAAAAAGATCTACCTTAAGTGGCAAAATTATCAAATGGTTAAGTTAATCTATGGATATATTATTTATTGGGATAAAGGTCTAACCATGAGAACAAATCACAATTTAGATGGTCAATCCCACAACCTAAGAGGGAATATCGTGAAGGTAGATGATCGCACCATTTCAAGACGCCAAAAGTTTATCTAGACCAAACCATGAGGCTAGCTTGATCTTGAGAAAATTGACCATCGCTCAGACCGCTTTATAATTCCAAAACAACAAAAGAGTCCATAATGAGCATAATGCCCAATCAAACAGTAACACATGTCAGGATTTTTCTATCATTTTAAGGTCATATATCAAATACGACATCTGTACGTAGCATTTAATGCAAAGAGATATCTAACACATACATCCCACTGCCACAAATATTTTTATAGTACACATCAATAAGGAGATGCCACGTCACCCACCATGTTTGAAGCCACCTCATATAAATACTCGAGGGAGATAACTAGAAAAGGATAAGATTTTGGACTGAGGAAAAAACGATAGTAGATACACTGCCATGCTCCACCGTCATTTCCCCCACCCGTCTCGGACTACAGGTCATCTAGCCACCGACACTTAGGATATGTTAAAATGTGCAAATAAAATTTGTAATCACTTGAATCCCGTCGTGAGATATAATATAAAGGTTGTCATACTCATGCTTATACCATTCGTTTCCATTCCACCCATCATTTGGCCCTCGAGGGTGTTCGACTATTGAGTCAACCTGGAACAATGAACTTAAACATTATACATGAAATTATTGATATTTTAATACAAGTTTTGCAAAATTTAAAAGTTCATGTTTATTCAATTCAAATACTCGTAACTTAAAGTCTATGAAAATCATTTATATTTTGAAATAAAAACTAAAAAATGTTTATTTTGATTTCAAAAAGCAATGAACACCAACAATATTCATGAAAATTATTGGATTTTTGCACTTAGAAAAAAGATGTACTCTATATAAAAAAAATAGTGCTAGGATGCACTACATGGGTGCACCCATAGTAGCATCCATGTAGTGACAACCTAGCATTACTTATTTAAAAAATGAACAAATCAGTATTCAATGCGGATTGCGGAGTAGTACACCTCAATGCGGATTGCGGAGTAGTACACCCCAAAACGCTTCCAATTGAAAGGCGGGATATTTATACCCAAAGGGGCTGCCTATTTCCCGTATTTACACATTGGACGGGCAATCAGACCTAGAGCCGCACAGTTTCTATCTCGGTAATCGGCAACGTCTTTTTTCAGGCTAATCCCAAAGTTAGAGGCGTCATTTTACCGTCTAATGACCTCCATGCCACTGCAATCCGGTGGCCGCCATCGATAAGGTGGGCAGGAACGATTCGCTGGAGCTAGGCTTATGCCATAGAGTGAAGATAAGAGTAGAAAGAGAAGTTTAGAGCATGTTAACGATATAAAACAAGGTTATGATGTTAGGAGAAACGCCCCCCCCTCCTGTAGCATATTGTTCTTCAGTTCGGGTAGAGAGCTAGGGTTTGGGAGATTTTTCGATCATGATTCATGTTTGCGTTTTCCCATCTGTTATGGAATATTGAGAAATATTCCGCATATGGAGTGGAATTTGTGATGTTCAGTCACATGTGTAGCATCTCTCTACCCAATTTAGCATCCCTTAGTTGGTACATGAGTTTCTCACCCGAGAATGGGTGCAAAATCGAGTCTTAAATGGTTTGCTTTCTACAATATTTTGAGCGACTACGGGAGTTATTTTAGTCTCGCACTCGAGTCACACGAGAAGTATACAAGATCTCATTTTTTTGCACATGATAAAAGTTATACCCTAAAATTTCTTTTGCTTGCTTCTCTTGTTCTACATGAATCAGAAAGTGGCCATGACTCTATTGGTTTTTAATGTGATATACAGATCCTACAAGTGGCCATGACTTGCATGGGTATTATGCTGGCGATGATGGAAGGGGAGTTCATCGGGTCATTCGAGATACTGATCCTTTGGGGGCATCGTATGACCGTTATCTGCAAGGCGCGGTAAGCAGTTCATTTATCTATGTTTTGTGGTGCTTATCAATAGTCATTTATAATTGTGGGTGATTGAAATTCATAACACATTGTGGTAGAAGATGTCCGCATATGGTGTGGGTGAACCTGCTAGATCACTGGGTGGTGCAATTGGTGGGCATCCTGGTGAGGATCCACGTGCCTTGGGGATTGTAGGGCCAGACCCTATGAGTGCAAAAGCCAGGGCAATGGGAGTAGTAGGTGGAGTTGGCAGAACAGAAATCCCTCTCCCTCCAGATGCTTCCAGTACACTCTATGTGGAGGGCTTACCCTCTAATTGTACTCGACGTGAAGTGTCTCGTATCCTTTTACAACTATAAGTCTACAATCTGCTATGTAAATTGCTGGGGTACACAATCCAGATCATTCAGTAGCATTTCAATATCTCTGTTATTGTATTTTTCANCTGGTGAGGATCCACGTGCCTTGGGGATTGTAGGGCCAGACCCTATGAGTGCAAAAGCCAGGGCAATGGGAGTAGTAGGTGGAGTTGGCAGAACAGAAATCCCTCTCCCTCCAGATGCTTCCAGTACACTCTATGTGGAGGGCTTACCCTCTAATTGTACTCGACGTGAAGTGTCTCGTATCCTTTTACAACTATAAGTCTACAATCTGCTATGTAAATTGCTGGGGTACACAATCCAGATCATTCAGTAGCATTTCAATATCTCTGTTATTGTATTTTTCAATAACTTTTGGCAGACATATTCCGTCCCTTTGTGGGTTATAAAGAAGTACGACTTGTAACAAAGGACTCCAGACGTGTAAGTGTACATGTATTAATATTTTTTTTAGTTTCCCATACCACTTTTTTTCTTTTAGAAGTTCTTAATCAACTGATAAACATTTGCAGCCTGATGGCGAACCATTGGTTTTTTGCTTTGTTGACTTTGCAACTCCAGCCCATGCTGCTACTGCTAAGGAAGCCCTTCAAGGTAACATTATCATTTTCATGCTTTTTGTGTGTGATCTCAGATTAAAACTTTTTTTAATCTCATATTAATACTTGTGCATTCAGTTTTGGAGCATTAAAGACAAATGTCTTAATATAATGCTAGTTTTCGAAGTCTTTTATATGTGCCTCATTCTAAGAGTGCATGACATGTTTGTACCTGGAATAGGTTGTGTTGTGGACATTTAGGAGCCCTTGATACATATATTTTCATTCTCCATAGAAAACTATAAATCTAGAACCATTCTTTGATCATTCCTGAGCTTTTCATCCTCATGCTTTCTGGCACATGATATTTTACTTTTGAAATCTTCATCAAGTGTGCAAGTCCGGGAACTCCACATGATATTTGGAGCTCGCATAAAGTAACTACTCCCGATAATAGAAAACAAGTTAATCTTTCACTCATTTTTTCCTTCATCTGGAGTTTGCTTCTTATTTACAATCTTGCTCCCGTGACTAAGCAATATTATACCTTTATTTTATTAATACAAAAATAATATGGAAGATTTTACGCACTACCACAGCTCCATGTTGACATGTGTCGTATTGTTGCTTTCTACTCAAAATCATCACCTCTGCTTAGACCCCCAATCAGGCACTCAGCCATCTTTCACTGTTCTCAAGGCCATTGCTGCTGACAACTGTCAACCTGTAAATGCGCTCGCAAGCTGCCACTGCTCCAACATTTTCCAACAAGCTCTAATTACAACCATGACACCTAAGGACTAGCCATTATCGCAGCTCGCCATCAGGAACCTACCTCTAATACTGCTGCTGCCTCTCGGACATGTTCTTTTAAATGATTTTGCGCAACACATCATATTTCCGTTGAAAAATAGTCACAAAGTTACATAATTGTCTCAAGCGCTTTGACCCAAGTTCATCTGTTCTATTAACCATGTTGAGAAGAATAATTACATCTTGTGGTACTATTAATTCATTAGTGGGTTGATTTCATTCCTTTAATGATCGAAATTGCTTACGTTGTGTTAACGCCGAGCTACAACGCTAAGTAGGCACAGGCAGATATTTTACTCTGCACTCAGCTTTGACTGACAGTGGAAGTTCACGTTTACAACATTATCGGATTTCGATCAAAACTGTAACTGACCGCATCGGTGTCTGATCTTCTCGACTAGAGATTAAAACGACACTTGTAAAAATGGTATAAAATCTATCTTGCAGGTTATTTGTTTGATGAGCTCGAACGTGATTCCGTTACCCTAAGGCTGCAGTTTTCCCGCCATCCTGGTGCACGGCCAGGTGGTGGACCCCGTGGAAGACGTTGAAACCCTAATCATTTGTGCAGGTGATATATGCTTCACATTCTCGGACACTTGATCACTTTATCTTTTTAATAATGGGAATTGGGCTCGAAACTAAAATTGTGGAAGGGCACTTCTATGTAGGACCCACTCGAATTGCGATATAACAATAGGGAAAGACGTTTTGCCAGCGTTGCAGGGTTTCTTTTGCGATATCTACGCTCAATCCGACATTCTGACGCTGCGGTTTCATTAGGACAGACCAGTCAGTTCAGTGGGAAGTTTGTTATTCGAAGAACTAGTATGTGTTTTAAAAAATTTGTGACCTCCTTTTGCAACGCTTGTTTCCTCTCTATGAGGTGTATTGGACAACGCTCTATTTATAATTTATTCCTAGATGAACCTAGTAAGTTTGGTTGCGGTTGTATTTGGGTGTGTTATGCTTTTAAAATTGAGTTGAATCAAGTTATATGCTGTACTTTTTCCTATGATGCACTCGGGTTTTAAAAATCATTTGCTGGCCTCACTTAGGTTTAGTTGGAAACTGATTTGGGGGGGGGGGGGGTTATCTACTCGATTAGGTGGAAACAACACTGGATGTTGTATTTTCATCGGCATGTGTTGCTAGAGGAAATATCTATGTTCGGCTTACCCATAGATTCTACTCTTGAGTGGGGTAAAACCGTAGGCTGTTTGGTTCAGTCAAAAAGATACCTCTTCCGTCCACAAAATAACTTCCTGGTTACTATTCTATACTTTTGTCAATTTTGTTTCTTTGTGTGTTTTCATGTGTGATTCATTAAAATAAAATATTTTGGTCACATTTTGTTTTATAGAACTTTGGTACTTTTGAAGCATGTAATTTTGTATTTTTTATTTCTTTACCAATTTGTGAGTTAAGTACTTTCAAAAGAGAGGATTTTGCACGTTCTTCGAAATGGGAAGTTAGTTTGTGGATGGAGGGAGTATAATCATTTCTGCTTTCGGTCTACCTAACCTATGCTTTTCAAATATATACGAACTCGTTTGCATCATCCTTAATGGTGAATCAGTGAGAGTCCAAATTGTATCGGAGAATCATGTCTTCTATGGACCTTTCCAATAGTGTGATATGCTAGTTGCCATTTAATCCTAAAAATCCATCCTTGTTAAAGTGAAAATTTACATTACTGTGTGTAATATGATGTTATCTGTATGAGATTCCTTACCCTATTGAAGAATACTATACTCTTATGAAAGTTTTCTCATGTCCCATGTGTTGTTTTACCTTGAAAATTACAGAGCATATGGTTTTGAGTGTGTGTTTGACATTATTCCAAGAGTGTTTTAATTTTACATGTTTGGAGGATTTAATTTTAGAGGTTGATTCCAAGCTTTTGTATTCTATAGAAACAGTTATTAACAGTTTAGTTAGGAAATATTGAGTGTGTTTTAGATAAGAAAGTTTTGTTAAAAATGAGTATTTATTTTGTAAACAGCTTTCACAATTTTAGTATTTGGCAAACATTTTGTTTATTTCACAATTCAATAATTTGAACCTTTTGCTTATTTTAAACAGTTCAAATCTCATAAGCCAAAAGAAAGTTTCTCCGTATTGTGTTTTTTATGCACTTGCATTTTGTAAGCCTAAACCAAGGAGTCGTTTTTTTAGTCTGCTTCTGCCCTAATTCATAGGACTTGCTTTTCGGTTTCGATTTAAAGATTTGGAACATGAAAAAGTGGTCGTTTTTCCCTTCAATTTATTGTTTGTGGGGGGCATATCCATTTGTTTGTATATTGTTCACAAACAAGTTCATGAAAGTGTTTTATATGGTTTACAATGTTTTATTTGGGTATATGTACTTGTGACGGAGGGACAATACATTGTTGGAGACAAAGAGGGAACACAGCAAACCAGCAGAGCATTTTACTGCCCTTCATGTCTAGGACGCCAGCGGGTAGAGTGACCTACGAATCTTATTATTATGATTTTGTCAAGGGCATTTATTACTTTTTATCCAATACTGACCCCCTAATTATATTCTGTTCTACTGAAATTGGGGCATTGTCTATACCATCTGTCCCTAATGATTTTGCAAATGTATAGTTTTATCGTGGAGCAGTTAAGTTTATGGTACCCCCCCTACTGTCCTCTGTTTAACAGTGTCTTTAGATTATCTTTGGTTCAAAAATCAATGAGTTGCAAAGGTTCTTGTTAAAAATAAGAGGGCATAATGTATCAAGAAAAAACAAATTTCTTACCATTATGCAAGAAAAATAAAACTATTTTCTTTTTTTTTTCCTTCTAAAATTTTTAACCAATCGTAGTTGTACGAAATTCATCTGCTTCGTCCCTCATACTTAAAAAAGAGAATTTTCTTTACTTACCTGGGTTTTAAAAATATTTTTCTAAAAAATAAGTATATCTTTTACTAAAACTTCATCTCTGTTGAAAATGTGCATTTTGGATCGTCATTAAGTTGTTAATGGTTAGTTATATGAAATAATTATTTGTGTAACAAAATGAAAGATGAGAATGTTTTATAAAGTATAGTTTTTATTTTTTTTATTTTTAAATTTTTTCTGCAAATTTTTAAAATGACTCTACTTTGTTCTTTTTTTAAAGATTAAAAAATGGTACCATGCCATGTTAATGCCAAATTATTTCATGATTTTGACGATTTGAATTTTTTATTTATAACAAACTAACATAATTAAAAGAATTTGGTGTAAGTATTTTTGTGCATTTTTAGTTTCTTACTCAACAAGTGTATTGTTTAGTTGTTATTTTTGATAAAAACTTAATCATGGTTAGCTTTTTCAATACTCTTTGTTCATAAATAAAGTCACACCAAATAAATACTCTTTGTTCATAAATAAAGTTTTCATTGCGTGTTACTTTAATTCAAATTATTTTATATAAAAAACTATTTGTAATTAAAAAACTAAAAATTATATATTTAAAAATTACATAAAAAGATCTACAAAATTAAAGGTGACATAATTATATTATTTTATCAAATAAGACACGAAAACAAAGGTACTGAAAACAAAATTCTCGGTAATATGTACTACGTACTGTAGTATATACTGATGACATGTTTAAGTCATCACATCAAAAGTATTTTTGAAAAGTCAAATAAAAAATATGTACTCCTTGTGTTCCTAAATATTCACAACATTTGCTTTTTCAGCAGTAGCAGAAATTTTTATTTATTTCGACATTTTCATTGATTATTTGATAAAATAAAATATTCTTGACATCTCTTATTTCGAAGAACTTTTCATGTAGTTTTTTGATATGTAATTTTTATTTTTTATTTCTTTACCAATATGTAAATAAAATGAATTGAAAAAACTTAATATTTTGCTTAGGGAATACAAATGTGGCAAATAATTTGGGACGGGAAGTATCTCTTAGTTCTCTTACAAATCAAACGGTGGAAGTGTTGAAAAAGTGTTTAGTTGCAGTAATGGCGTAGCCTATTTTATAGGTAGGACAGAATTGCTGTTAATGTGCACTAGCTTATACTAATGGCATATTTAACCGCCGACTCCCGCCGCTTCTCCGCCAACGACAATGACGACATCTACTCTGCCGCCGGAAGGGGAGCGGCGGAAGGAGAGTCGAGCTTCCACGGCGGCGAGCAGAGAACCGGACAGAGAAACGGGAGTGCCGTTGAAGTTACTGTTCCGAGTTGCCTCAATCGCCGGCGGGATCCAATTCGGGTTGGCTCTACAGCTGTCTCTGCTCACGCCGTACGTGCAGGAGCTCGGAATCCCTCACGCTTGGGCCAGCATGATCTGGCTTTGCAGCCCGGTGTGCGGCCTCTTCGTTCAGCCGCTGGTCGGACTCATCAGTGACCGGTGCAGGAGCCGATTCGGTAGTTCCAAATTAGGTACTGAATTACTATGTAAGAAAAAAATTTGTACTGAATTATAAAAAAATCACAAATTAGGTAGTTCCATTTCAGAAAAAATAATGTAGGCAATAGAAGATTATCAATATATATTTCGGAGTGTTGTTTATTAAAAATTTGCAATACAACAGAAAATGTAGTTAGTTCCATTTCAGAGAAAAAATTATTATGTTATTTTCACAATTATTGTAATGTTGTTTCGCAAAAAACTATTTATGTAGAATTATCGAAAAGTATTCACAAGTTTTGTAGTGCCATTTTTTAAGAAATAATACCCATATAGTATCAAAAAATTACTCGAAGTGTCGCTCAAGAAAAATGATTGCAACTTACAAAAATATGTAGTGAGTTATGAAGTAAATAAACTAAACTAACAAAGTTAGAAATTAAAAAATGAAAAAAAGAGAATTGCCTAAAATAGTTCCACCTTTCATTTATTTGCGAAAACGGGCATTTTTCAAAAATTTCGTTAAATGACTGTTAGTTTTTTAAACGGCGATTCAAAACTTGCACACATGCGTAAATGTGGGATTATTTCCGATGACAGCGAAAAATGAGATTATTTTTTAAAGAGCACGAAAAAGTGAGATTATTTGAGATAATTTTTCCTTTATTTGATAAAATATTTTCAAAATAGTTCTTTTTCTAGTTAGTGTAGCATGTAATTTTTATTTATTTATAAGTCAAATGTTGGTCTAGATTGACTATAAAAAAATTAAAACTGGACAAATATTCCTGTATAGAAGTAGTACGCACAATTACACTTCCCTAATTTATCTACCATACTACTACCTCCTTCCTCACATAGGATTACTATTTTGTCAAAATTTATAAAATTTGATTATTAATTAAATAAAATTTAGATACTGATATAATATTAACTTTATTAGATTTATCCCATAAAGTATTTTCGAAATAGTTCTTTATCTAATTAATGTATCATACAATTTTTATTTAATTATAAGTCAAATGGTTGGTCTTTATCATTTCTCTTTTGTCTATAAAAATCATAATCACATAAACCCTACTTCATTAAAAATTGTATCAAGAACCGAAATGACATAAACAATTTGCTTCGTTTACAACCCTACTCCGGACGTGGTTCGTGGAAGATAAATATTTCCAATAGAGTTTGGGTACACCAACTTCAACGTGTTCCCAAATCTAATGTTTGATACCTTGTGAGGCCACAAGAAATTTTTAGACACACCTGTCAAACATTCACTTGTGGGTTCTAAATAGAGCATTGACTGCTCTCATTGATTATGGAAATGCCAAATATAGTACAAGGAAAGAATGGTGGCTTTAGTTTGTATCGAAAAAACCATTTTTTAAAATTATCTTAGAATTAATTCTGAAAAGCACTTGATTGAGTAATGAGCTAGGATGATTACCAAAATGAGGTTAGTTCCAAATACATCATGGGGGAGTATGATAATATAAAGCTCATTGTCGAAATCAAAATCACCTATCCCATTTTGGCCAAACTACAAACCAAGTAGAGATAGAAAGGGTGACTGTATTTCTAAAATCAGCAGATTATATGTGATTTGGGATTGGACTTTATAATATGACATTGGTTGCCTTTAATTATATGTGTTAGAGAAGGATCATCGAAGGAATCGCGTAGCAAATGCATACTTCTCATTGTTTATGGCTGCTGGGAACATACTAGGTTGTGCAACTGGATCTTTCAGTGGCTGGTATAAGATGTTTCCTTTCATCTTAAGTGATGCTTGCGCCGTCAACTGTGCAAACCTTAAGACAGCTTTCCTTCTTGACATTGTTTTCATTGCAATCGCAACATATATAAGCTTATCAGCAGTCAAAGAGCATTCCTATTGTAATGAAGATAGTGAACAGTCCTCCCACCATGGCCAGGAAGAACCTTTTCTGTGGGAACTGTTTGGAACATTTAAATACTTTCCGGGTACGGTTTGGGTTGTTCTGCTAGTCACTACCCTGACTTGGATTGCCTGGTTCCCATTCACCCTCTATGATACCGATTGGGTGGGTCGTGAAATATATGGGGGTGAGCCAAACGGAACGAATTATAGCAACGGAGTTTGAATGGGTTCACTGGGTCTAATGTTGAACTCTGTGGTGATGGGGTTAACCTCAGTGTTTGTGGAAAAGCTCTGTGCAAAACGGGGGCCTGGTTTTGCTTGGGGAGTATCTAACATTGTCTTGTCTCTGTGCTTCGTAGCAATGCTTGTAATCACTGCCATCAGAAACCACATGGATATTGGCAGTGATGATCCTCCTCCAAATGCCATTATTATTGCTGTGTTGTTAGTTTTCACTATTCTTGGGGTGCCTCTATCTGTGAGTCTTTTCTTTTGCTTTATGTGACATTTTATTCACCTGTAAAATGCTTGTTGCAGCATTCTCAACAAGTCAATCTTATGGTTTCGAACAATTTTTTGCAGACAACTTACAGTGTTCCATATGCATTGATTTCGTCACATATTGAGAACTTGGGGCTTGGCCAAGGTTGGTTTTCATCATCCAAACTAGCAATTTCTGCTGTTGGGAAACAGTGAATGAACAACTTTCCATACCATGCAGGACTATCAATGGGGGTACTGAATCTCGCAATCGTTATACCCCAGGTTGCCATTATTTTTCAAAAGAACATTCAAAAGATTCTTTTTATCTTCTCCATTACTGCTTCTGAGATTATTTATGGTGCTTTTGAAATCAGATATTGGTTTCACTTGGGAGCGAAGGCTGGGATGAGCTATTTGGTGGAGGCAATTCCCCTGTTTTTTTTGTGGCAGCAATTTCGGCATTTGCGGCTGGACTTGTGGCCACCTTGGCTATTCCTCGAGCCAGAGTCCATAAACCGAACCACCTTCCTGTTGGGTTTGTGGAGGCTTGGGCTTGACTTTTGGCCCGACCCATGTTACGAAACCCTAGATGCACTCTTCCTATATATATTGCATACTTGTACTTGTAATCGGCACCACAAGTGAAATAAGAAAATCCTCTTGTTGCAGCCGTGGATTAGGGAAACCGAACCACGTTAAATTCTTGTGTGTCGTTTGTGTTCTGTTTCTCTCGTTTCTCGCAGATTATTTGTGTGTGTTGTGTGTTTAATTCCCTACAAGTGGTATCGGAGCCTTGGTTGTTCAACACGAGAACACGAATAGCGAGAAGCTGTCACCTAGCGTTTGCAGATCTGGATCGTTGGATTGTGGAGAAAGAGAAGTGTAGCGCCGCCTGTTCGAGAAGGGGAGATCTGCGCAGGTGTTCGCCACCATCAGCGAGCCGCCGCTGCATCCCTTCTAGCGCCGTTGTCGACCTCTTGGATCGCGAGGCCGTGCAGAAGGCAGTCCAGCCGCAGAGCCGCCGCCAGGTTGAGAAGCCGCCGCGAAGCCACGCCGTTTCAGATTGCGCTGCTGCCGTCAGATCAGATCGTCGCCGCTGGGTCTTGCCGCCGTCGCCGCAAGGATCGTCGCCGTCGTTTGCGCACAGACCGCTGCACGCAGGAGCAGTGGCAGAAGGAGTCGCCGCCGTCAGGAACCGTCCGTCGAGATCGCTAGCTGCGAGCCGTCACCACCATCCAGACTTTGTGCTGCCGCCGTCGTGTTGCTGTTGCCGACAGTTGCCCTAGCGCACAGAACAAGGACCGAAGAAAAAAAGGGCCGGCCGGTTGCAAAAAGAGAGAAGGCAGTGGTCACTGGTCAGCCTTTCTCCATTGTTTTTGGGCCGTAGCATTTTTTTTGGTAGGTTGGTTTTGGGCTTGATTGATTGAAGTGGTGGACCTGTTTTTCTGACGAAAAAATACCAAGATCTGAAATTAGTTGTACCGGGTATTTCGTCTAGTCGTTTGAGATGGCAGAAGACGGGAAGTTCCGAATTGAGAAGTTCGATGGTAAAGATTTCAGTTGGTGGAAGATGCAAATTGAAGATTTGCTGGTTCAGAAAGATTTAGACGTGGTATTGGGTGACAAGCCAGAAAAGATGTCGGATGCAGATTGGGCAGGTTTGGATCGGAAAGCAATGTCTGTAATCCGTCTCTCATTGACCAAGAATGTTGCGTTCAACATTCTGAAGGAGAAGACAGCGAAGGGAATTATGGACGCACTGTCTAACATGTACGAGAAGCCATCTGCAGCGAACAAAGTTTTTCTGATAAGAGAGCTGGTGAACACAAAAATGAAAGAAGGCACTTCAGTTACCGAGCATATCAACAAGTTGAATTCGATATTAGCCAGACTTTTGTCAGTGGGCATTAAGTTCGATGATGAAGTTCAAGCTTTACTACTGCTATCGTCTTTACCTGATAGTTGGTCCGGAACGGTTACAACAATTACCGGTTCAGTGGGACCCGATGGATTCACCTTTGATCAAATTCGAGATCTCGTTCTTGGCGAGGATGTTAGAAGAAAGAGTTCAGGGGAGTCATCTGGTGAATTGCTTCATGTTGGTAGATGCAGAAGATATAGCAGAGGTAGTGGGAGCAGGAACAGACAAAGGAGTCAGTCAAAGACTCGTGACACGAGTCCACATTGCACGACCTTCACGTTCCTCCATCCCGTAAAATCCTTAGTTACAGGCTTACTATTCTTTCATTTGTAACGAGTTCCGAGACGCTCACTGCTCCTCCAGCGAGACTGAACGACACTCCTTTCGTTACACCTAAGGACCCAGTACCTAAGACCACGAAGTAAAGTACGATGGGTGTGCGGTGAAGCATTTCAGAATCTAGTAGTTGGGGACTTTGGAAAGGTACGACTAGCGGACGACAGAGCTTTTGATGTGACGGGCATGGGTGACATAGTGCTGAAGACCCCAGTCGGTTTCTGGACTTTGAAGGATGTCAAAGTTGTTCCAGCCTTGAAGAAAAGTTTGATTTCTGTCAGGCAGTTGGACGAACAGGGATATGAGGTGAAGTCAGAGATGGGCAGTGGAAGGTCGTGAAGGGAAATCTTGTCATGGCCCGTGGAAGGAAGAGAGGTTCGTTGTATATGGTCGAGTTACCATATGAGGGAGTGACCGTCCCAGTTCAGAAGAAAAATGAAGTCCGGTTCACAGAGTCTCGTGGGCAGAATAAGGTTGTCTGTGCAAGAGAGAAACCTAGAGCCACTGGTCAGACTCAGGATGAACGAGCGTGGAAAGGTTCAAGGGGGCCAGTCAGAGGTATTTGTGGCAGTGGGAGCTCAAGAGGCGCTTCAGCCAAGTTGCCCAGAAGACAGTGGGTCAGGAGAACCAGTATTCCAGCTGTTGGAACATCTCCAGAAAATTTCTTTCTGAGTATGGAGAGTGTTTGTTCTCAGGATGTTCCAGGATCCGGCAGTTTGCGTCTGCAGTGGGAGCCGGTAGGGACCGAGGACGAGTCAGGGGCAGATTTTGCTGTGACTGATGTGTTGGAGCTTGGGAGAGCTTCAACGGGCCTTTCAGTTGTCTGATGATAGGGCCGGTGCAATAGGAGAGCTGAGGAAGATTACTCGATGTACAGGGAATCATGGTGGATGGCAGTTGATGACTATCAAGCCTCCAAGTGGGAGAATGTTGGGTTTGTGGAGGCTTGGGCTTGACTTTTGGCCCGACCCATGTTACGAAACCCTAGATGCACTCTTCCTATATATATATTGCATATTTGTACTTGTAATCGGCACCACAAGTGAAATAAGAAAATCCTCCTGTTGCAGCCGTGGATTAGGAAACCGAACCACGTTAAATTCTTGTGTGTCGTTTGTGTTCTGTTTCTCTCGTTTCTCGCAGATTATTTGTGTGTGATGTGTGTTTAATTCCCTACACTTCCTTAAGGTATCTGGCCAACATTACTGCTTTCGTGTTTTTCAATATCATTGCAAATTAATGTGTAGGTAAATCTATAGTCACACCATATTTGAAACCAGACACTAACGCTATATATGCAATCCATATAGTTATTGTCCGTACATGTCTACTTGACAGATGATATCAAACTTGATATGACTATTATAACGTTTTTCATTGGTGTAATGACATAAAAATCCATTTTCACTCCTTTCTATATTGAGATGTTAATATGGGATGGTTCGAATTGTGCTTTAGGTTTTTTTTTTATAAAAAAAATCTCATTTGGTTATGTCACTAACGTACTGATATTTGTAGGGTATTTGGAGTTATTTCCGTTCATTTGAATGCACAATGGAAAACCCAATGGAATTTAAAGAACGCATTTGTTAATGAATGTGTATTTATGGTTTTGCCAATTAATGTGTATTTATGGGTAATAAGTAATGTCTTTTTTCCGCCAAACTACGACCACCTCAACAATCAAGAAATCACTATTTGCCACCAATCTACGATTAAAGTTTAATTTACTTCTTCTCATTGATCGTTCGACTGGTCCGAGGGGCCCCGGGATATAAAAGGTAAGAAAAAACATATCACTATTTGCCACCAATCTGTGACTAAAGTCCAAATTACCTTTCTCTCTGTGACCGTCTAACCGGATCTGAGAGGACCTCGGGGATGGGACTCAACCTTTTTTTTAAAGAAAAAGCACATATGAAAGTCCCCAAACACACTTCAAAGTTCAAACTACCCGCCCAAAATTTGGATGCGCATCCAAATTTTTTACTGTTAAGATCATACGTCCAACTTGACATTTAACAGTAAAAAAACAGCCGCCGTCCTGGAACTAAAGGAACAAACGGAAAACACAGAGATAAGGAAAAGTTGGATATGATGTAGTTGAAGTAGGAGAAAAAAATGTAAAAGTGATTGAAAAAATGTACAGTTAAATCGGTTAAGTGATTGGAAAAGAAAAAGAAGTTTGAGTGTTTCCATCTTTCCCAAACACTAATATTTAAGTGTTTCAGAAAATGGTTAAAGGTGTTCGCTGAAACTTGAAAAGAGTAAAGAAAGAGAAACTCATTCAAAATAGTTAGAAGTTTAGGAAAGTCATTCAAATACATTAGGAAAGTCATTATGTTTTAGTCCTATTTAGTGTAAATTTTACTAAGCAAAGAGAAATTTATTTAAATAGGACTAAAACATAATGACCTTCTCAATATAGGACCATATGCTTTTATTTCCCAATGTAGGACCTTTGGTCATTATCAAGTTGTCATTATTCAACTAAATGCCCATCATTACTGGACATTATTCCTTCCACTAGGTTATTATTAAGTCTTATTTAGAGAATAAAAAAATTTAAGTCCTACATTAGGAAAGTCATTATGTTTTAGTCCTATTTAGTTCAAATTTCACATAAGCAAAGTGAGAGGGAATAATTCTCTATGCTACACCATAAAATTTTGTTCTTGATGCTTAACGTTTCAGATTAGAAAATGGATTCCAACTCTATATGCAAGTATTTAATTTTATCGGAACTCTACTCGTTATTCTCGGTTCATTAGAATTTTAACATGATATCGGAGTAGGTTTGCTCTTAGTTCGATTATACCTGATTGTTTGGACTTGGATTTGGCGATATGAGCTACCCGTCCGTGGTTAGCATTGAGTTGGTTATAAGAAATTGAGAAGTTACAGGCCGTTATGTGGCTAACTATAAAAGACTGAGATACTATATCTGTTTGTCCAAGTGCAAACTATTTCAGACGAGTTACTACTTGAGAGGGAGTTTTGGAATTCTCACATTTGAAAACAAAAAGAAATACCACTAGCAAATATTGAAGGATGAAGTTCTATCCAACAATATAAGTTTTTGGATTAAAAAGTTGGGATCCTTTATATGCAATTGACTGATTTTGCATGGTACTCTCCCTGTTGTTCTCTGTCCACCGGAATGTTAACAGTAATTGACTTTGTAAAAAGATCAAACTATAATTCATTAAAAAAGTATGAGAGGGTCTACATTTTATATATGGATCCTAAGACAACAATAACACAACTAACTAGTACTAGTATCTTTGCATAAATTTAAACAACTTATTTTTTACTTTTTAATATTTTTTAAAATGTGCATGAAATCAAACTGTTACAATTTTCGAGAGGAAGGGGAGTATAAACAATTTAAGTGTTGGTCTACTTTTTTTTTAGAAAGTATAGTTTTTAATAGGAACTAAAACTAATTTTAATTCATATATTAAAAAAAGGGGCTTTTTACTTAAATATCACTAAAACATAATGACTTTCACTAAATAGCATCATATGTGTTTTTTGTTCTCAATGTAGCACTTTTAGTTATTATTTATTAGTCATTATTCAAGTAAATGTTCGACATCAATTCTTCTTCTGGACATTATTAAGTGACTAAGTGTTATTTAGGGAATAAAACACTTTAAGTGCTATTTAGGAAAATGACTAAAGTTTAGTGCAAAAATTTCTTAAAAAAAAACATGTGATATTTGTATACTGCAAATATAAAACTAAAAAATAATGTGAACACCAATACAACAATACATACTTGTAATATGAAATTACCGGCGTTTTACTATATCAACATTCATATTTACTCGCACTCCCTACGTCATAATAAAAAGTTCTTTTCTTATTTTTTGTTTCACAAAGTCTTTTCTTTTTGTATTAAAAAACCTTTTTACCTTTATTAATGCTTATGGTATATATCACTATTGAAATATTAGAATAATAATATTACTCATTGAATTATGGAGTACATGATAGTGTATATATAGAATATAATAGACTTCTAACACAACTAGGAATAGAGAATAAAAACTAACTAACATACAACATCTATCACAAATAGGATTAGGAAGCTGACTAATAATGAAACACTACCATAACCAACACTACTAGAAGTAATATTAGTATTATTGTCTAACATCCCCTCAAGCTGAACTCTAGCTGAAGTAAAAGGAAGCTTGGACACTAGCTGGAAACTGGAAACTTTGAGAAGAGAGAAGTCTGACATGCGCCGGTGGCTGCTCACATCGTTGGAGAAGAGACAATTCTAACGTGCGCCGGTGGCTGCTGACGTCGTTGGAGAAGAGAGAAGTATGACGTGCACTGGTAGCTGCTCACGTAGTTGGAGAAGAGAGAAATTGACGTGCGCTGGTAGTTGCTGACGTCGATGAAAAAGAAAGAAGATTGAGTGGGCTGGTAGCTGCTGACGTCGAAGAAGAGAGAAGGTTGACGTGCGATTGTAGCTGCTGACGTCGAAGAAGAATAGAGAAGGCTACTGGAGGTGCCTGTTTGACTGAAGATCCTTGACATTCTTTGTCTTTTTTCTTGGATCCGAGCAATGCCCTATTTCTTTCTTGAAGGGGTGTAGAGATATTTTTTTTCTTTTTCACTACTTTCCCTCTTGGCTTTGCTTTTGTGTTTTTTTTTTGGAATTTTTTTTTTGGGTAACAAAAGAAAAAGAGAAGAAAGATTGATGATTAGAATGAGTGATTTGAGAGAAAAAAAAGTGGATTAAGAATTGGTGAAGGAAAAAAGATTTGGGGTTTGAGATTTTGATATGGTGAATTGGAGAGCAACTATCATTTTTTTCCTTTTTTGAGAAGATAGGATTAGTTGAGAGAGTTTGTGAGGAGTTGAGTTTTTTTTTGAAGAACCATGGAGATGACAAGAGAGAAGTTCTGCCTTTGATGATTTTTTTGTATGATTTCAACAAGGTTGTTTTTCTTTTTTTCGTTTGAATGGAGACGTTGATTTGAGGATAAAAGAAGGAAAAGAAAATAGAGGTGAATAGGGTGGACCCGCCGTCGCCGGAATTACCGGCGGCGGCGACGGAAGCAAAGAACTCTTTTAAGTCACAAAGAGCGATGACTCCGATACCATGTTGAAATAGTAGAATAATAATATTAGTCAGCTTCTAATCCTATTTGTGATAGATGTTGTATGTTAGTTAGTTTTTATTCTCTATTCCTAGTTGTGTTAGGAGTCTATTCTATATATACACTATCATGTACTCCATAATTCAATGAGCAATATTATTATTCTAATATTTCAACAATCACAACATATCTTTTTATTAATAATCTATCAATCACATGTTACTTTTATTCATCACATCAATGGTATATTAAAAAAGTTAATACAAAAATACCTCTTCCTTCAATTTCCTAAACGTTACAATAGGAACAATTTTATGGAACAAATAAAGTATGAAATTAGAATGTAATAAAGAAATCATATTTTGATATATATTTCTCATATTACACTGTCATGACTTTTTCATCATACTACCAATACGTAATCGTACATCATACTATCATTATACTCATATGTGTGTCTTAAAAGAGCAAGGACAACTATTTTGATATTTTTCTTACTCTTATCGAGAAAGATTTCTTAAAGAAATATTTGCACTAAATAGGACTAAAACTTAAGTAATTTCCTTAAATAACATTTAAATTATTTTATTATCTAATTAGCACTTAATAATGTTCAGAAAGAGGAATAATGTCAAACATTTACTTGAATAATTAATGACTAATGGATAATGTTTAAAAATGTTATATTGGAAAAAAACACATATAATATTATTTAGAGAAAGTCATTGTATTTCAGTACTTTCTTAAAAACTATTGTTTATAAACAAATTTGCAATGTTTTTTTTAAAAGTAGAATTGTTGATTTTTTAATATACCTAGTAACCCAGCGAAGAAGGAGAATCTACACCGTAATCCGTATTACGTAATCCGTAATAGGCTAGGCCCATTCTGTCTTTTTCCGGAAAAGGAATTATAGATTCCAATTACTGTACAGATTCCAATTAATTTTATAGCGTAGAATTAGGAGGTTGGGGAACCTTTTTACTCGGTCTTTCCCGTTCTTTTCGGAAAGAAATAAATAATGAATCAAATTAATCCGCTGGTTTCCAACAATAGTGGCCGAGAAAAGATAAGATTTTTTTTCTTCCTATTTTCATTTATGAACCTCTCTTATAATTAGCGTTGAGCTTTTATGATTTTTTTGGCATTAATGTTAAAGATTAGCATGTTTTGAAAAGAGTATCAGACATGAGTCTTTAGCGTTAACATTTTCAGAATTTATCTACACCATTATAATTTTATCCAAAATACTAACACTAATCGAAAACGTTGTTTCCAAATAAGGCCATATAATGGAATCTAATACAGTGGATAATCCTTTTGTTAAAATATAAATTAAATCTAATTAATATATTCTGTAGTTTTTATTTAATCATTATTCAAAAGTAGATCAAAATTGACTGTAAAAGTAAAAACTGGACAAATTTTTTTAGACGAAAGGAGTACAATATGCAATTTTTATTTAATCTTTCATTTATATTTAATTGATTATTATGATGAATATACCTTTTTTAGAAAAGGAAAAAAATGTTTTTTGGTTAAATATAAAAAATTTCTAATCATTATGATGAATATCTTGTTACATTACAAAATTAAGGAATGTAGACATATTTTATTTTCACATTCATTTATTTTTTACTGAACCAAAAAAATCGGAATGGTTAGTTAAATATGAATGGTGGGTATAACGCACTCGGTATAAATAAATGCGAGAGAGAATAGTGATTCTAATAGGATTCTGATTCCCTACATCTCCCATAGGAACCAAATCAACGGAATCTTCACGTAGTTGGAACCGTACCGGCGGCTAAAGAAGGCAGTACAATGGGGAATGTAACGGCTGACGTGGAGGCGACGCCGCCCTCGGCGGCGGCGGAGGAGGTGTGCGCGGTGAGGCAGGTGGATCTGACGGTGCCGAAGACGGACGACCCCACCCTGCCGGTGCTGACGTTCCGGATGTGGGTCCTCGGGGTGGCCTCGTGCGTCCTGCTGTCGTTCGTCAACCAGTTCTTCTGGTACCGGACGGAGCCGCTGATGGTGACGGCGATCTCCGCGCAGATCGCGGTGGTCCCGCTGGGCTACCTCATGGCGCGGCTGATCCCCGCCACCGTGTTCTTCAAGGGGACCCGGGTGCAGTTCAGCCTGAACCCGGGGCCCTTCAACGTGAAAGAGCACGTGTTGATCACCATATTCGCCAATGCCGGCGCCGGAACGGTTTACGCCACCCACATATTGAGCGCCGTGAAGCTGTACTACAAGAGGCCCCTTGGCTTCTTCCCTGCTCTTCTTGTCATGCTCACCACCCAGGTATTTTGTCTGCCTTTTTAAAACTCAAATTGTACAAATTTTAATCATTATTGTATTAAATCTGACAAATTTATCTAGTGAAATTTTGTATCGATATTAACAATTTTTTGTTTAATTAGTAATCGAAATTTGTCTAAAAACAATCGTGTCACTGCAGAATACTTTTAGGTAATCTACATTCATAATTGGTACTGCATTTTAACTGTGTTTTTTAGATTAAAAACATGGAACTCATATTTTATTGCTTTAATCTTTTTTTCAAATATTTTTAGAATTTTAACACAAAAAATAATTCTTTTTTAAATCAATGAAAAGTCAAAGAGGAATGTTTTAAGAGATGGGGTGAGTATTAATTAATGAATGAGATCAGAGCATATATATTTACTCCGTATATTTTTATTAATGACTCCTTGTAACGGACGAACACCTTTTTGTTTTTTTTTAAAAAAGGACAAACACCTTTTTTTCAGTTAAACTTCATTTACTCTATTTAGTATTTATCCATCCCATTTTCATATAAACATTAATGACTCCATTTAATGTGGAGCATACGATCTGGCCGGTTTTATAGTCGAAGTACTTTTACAAGCACAAGCAATAATGCTAATTTATTGAAAGATTTTGAAATAAAATAATATTCTCTTCCTCCAAAATTAGTTGTGCTTCAAAATGAATCTATTTATATTAATTTACCTAAAAATTCAATACTTTTTTGTAATATACGGTCAAAATTTCAAAAGTTTAACAAAGAAAGTCAAACTAATTGAAAAGTTAATTTTTGAGCGAAAGGAGTAACTCGGAGCATGTAGTTGGCCGAAATTATTTTGAGTTCATTTTTTCAAATATTTAATTGGGTCTAATTTGAGTTCATTTTTTAAAATATTAATACTAAAATTATAATAAAATGTATCTTGGATATATAATTAAAAACTACATGAAGAATTTATAAAATAAAACGACTAGATAATATGATTATTTTATTGTAATAAATGATTAAGTAAATAAGACAAATGCAAAGAAAAACCTATATACTCTTTAGTTTGAACTAACGAATATTAAAAATGATTTTATTTGAGAACAAAAATATAAAAATTAAACTTTGAAGTTTTAGTCAAATATACCCTTGTATTGTAATTACATGTTAATTTAGAATTGATGATATTAGCCTAGTTTGTAACAATGTCAAAGGTCGTTATTGTTTTGAAAAATTAATCAAAAATATTAAAATTTAATTCAGAACATTAACTCTAATTAAAAACATTGTTGATATATATTATCTACTTTATGAATGCAGATGTTAGGTTATGGGTGGGCTGGAGTTTTCCGTAAGCACCTTGTCGAGCCAGGGGAAATGTGGTGGCCCGGCAACCTTGTACAAGTCTCTTTGTTCAGGTACCTCAAAATTGTTGAAAACTTGGAGTATCTTTCCAAATAAGATTATAGATTAGTGTTACATTTTGAAAAAATTATTTATAATCAACTTTTAATGTTATCGTTTTCAAAGTAATCTGCAAGATTAAAATTCTATCTAAGAAATGAATGCTAATCTCTAAAAATATTTCCCGGAGAGACTTTAAACCCTACACTACTTCAATTTCTAATTAATCTCAATTGATGGATAAATAATATGTTAATACTCCATATATGCAAATATGCATGTGTTGTAGGGCACTTCACGAGAAGAAGGAGAAGAAGACGGGAGAGAAAAGGGGCACAATTAGTCGAACCAAATTCTTTCTCATAGCCTTAACCACCAGCTTCCTCTACTACATCTTCCCCGGCTTCCTCTTCCAGATGCTAACCTCCCTCTCATGGCTCTGCTGGCTCGCCCCCAACTCCGTCACCGTCAACCAGCTCGGCTCCGGCATGCAGGGCCTGGGCCTCGGCGCGGTGGGCCTCGACTGGTCCACCATCTCCTCCTACCTCGGGAGCCCGCTCGCCAGCCCGTGGTTCGCCACCGCCAACGTGGCCGCCGGATTCTTCCTGGTCATGTACGTCGTCACCCCCCTCTCCTACTGGCTCGACCTCTTCCACGCCAAGAACTTCCCCATCTACTCCAACGACCTCTTCCAGCTCGACGGCTCCCGCTACAACACCTCCGCCGTCATCAATTCCCATTTTGCCCTCGACCGGCAGGCGTACGACCGCGCCGGGCCCCTCTACCTCTCCACCTTCTTCGCCATGAGTTACGGCATCGGGTTCGCGACCCTCTCCGCCGTCGTGGTGCACGTCCTCCTATTCAATGGCAGGTACGACGACGTACCCACGAAAGATGTTCCAGTTTCATTTTTTGCGCATCACATAAAACACTTCTATCCCGCCTTGAATTCCAAAAAAAACTTTCAAAACAACTTCTACCCACAATAAAGAAGAAATGTTGTAAATTTTAGGCATTTTAGATCTGGGTAGTTGTGTTTTAATTATGGAATGCGCAAAAAATGAAATATGAACATCTTTTTGGGACGGATGGAGTGTATTTAACGAGCGTATAATTTGGGTGTTACTTTCCTATTTTACCCTTGATTTTTATGAAACTCGATATGGATGATCGAGTGCAGGGACATATGGAGTAAGACGAAGAAGGCGTTCGGGGGAGAATCGAAAGAGGACATACACACGAGGCTGATGAGGGCATACAAGGAGGTTCCGATGTGGTGGTTTGTTGTCATTCTCGTTGTCAACCTTGTTGTCATCCTTTACACGTGCATGCATTACGAAGAGACACTGCAGTTGCCCTGGTGGGGGGTGTTTTTGGCATGCGCCATTTCCCTCTTCTTCACTCTTCCCATTGGTATCATTTGTGCCACTACTAACCAGGTAACAAAACAACATGACGTTCTTCCCCGAATAGGACTAATTCTGTCGACTTCAAAATTCATACAATATTAACGATTTTTTTTATTTACATTTTATCATATAGATGCCCGGGTTGAATGTGATCACGGAATACATAATCGGGTACGCGTACCCGGGTCGACCCGTGGCCAACATGTGCTTCAAAGTGTACGGATACATTAGCATGATTCAAGCACTTTCGTTTGTTGGGGATTTCAAGCTCGGCCATTACATGAAAATCCCCCCTAGGACTATGTTCACCGTCCAGGTTTGACAAATTTTATGATTGATAATTAATTACTATGTTCTTTTGACACTAAAATAACCTGTTTGTGGTGTCATTATGTTTTAATTCTATTTAAGTAAATTCCTTTTTTCTTAACTGGTGAAGCTGGCTGGAACGGTGATCTCGGTGTTGGTCTACACTCTAACGGCGTGGTGGCTGATGGAGACTGTCCCCAACCTCTGCGACACCCTCCACCTACCGGCGAACAGCCCGTGGAAATGCCCGATGGACCACGTCTTCTACGATGCCTCCGTCATCTGGGGGCTGGTGGGCCCCCAGAGGATATTCGGCAACCTCGGCGGGGTATACCCCAAGATCAACTGGTTCTTCCTCGGGGGCGCGGTCGCGCCCCTTCTGGTCTGGCTGGCAGCCCAGGCCTGGCCGGACCAGAAATGGATCCGGGGAATAAACATCCCCGTCCTGTTGGGCGCGACCGCGATGATGCCGCCCGCAAGCGCGGTCAACTACACGAGCTGGATCGTGGTCGGGTTCGTGTTCGGGTTCGGGGTGTACCGGTACAAGCCCAAGTGGTGGGAGCGCTACAACTACGTGCTGTCGGGCGGGTTGGACGCGGGGACGGCGTTTATGACCATATTCATATTCTTTGTGTTCCAGTCGAGAGGGGTTAGTTTGAACTGGTGGGGTAATAATGTGGATGGTTGCCCTCTCGCTTCTTGCCCTACAGCTAAAGGGATCCTCGCGGACGGATGTCCTGCCAGATGATGACACACACGCATAGAGTTTTAAAATTGTGGCATTTATAGTTCATCTTCGGAGATGCATTATGTGATTGGTACATTTTAGATGTGACAAATATTTAGTGTTCAGTAATACTTCTTCTTATTATGGGTAACATTTATTTCTTTCGTCTCAATTTAATTTGTTTGTTTGGAAGTACATTCAAACTAATTTACTTGATATTTGGTGTGTTACATTAAGAGTTCTCTCAATTAAGAAGTGACATGGTTATACTCTCTCCAATCTATTAAGATCTTCTTTTGATTTTTTGTGATTTTAAAAAAGAATTTAAAAAAAGATGAAAGTTAATCAAAACATTTTTAATGGTAATGGGTAAGGTGTATTAACCATAGTTTTAAAATCCGGACCGGCCGGTTCGGACCGTGAACCGGTGGTCCAACCGGTCTGGTCCCGCCCATTGGACCGTAACCTGCTTTGAACCGGCCCAAACCGGTTTGAACCGGCCAGTCGGACCGATCCGCCCATTTTTTTTTTTTGCTGATTTTTTCCAAAACATGCCTCCATGGGGGTTTGAACCCAAGACCTTGTAGACATTTGGTTGAGCTTCTAACCATCCAAGCAATGGTACTTTTTGTTATAATTTCACATAATCTTTTATAATTACAAAAAAGATTATATATAAATTCCTTTTCAATTTTATAAATATAATATTATATAGCTATGAGTCAAACACAAAATCATTGATATTATTGATAATACAAAATGCAAATCATGCAAAGATTTCGTTTTTTTTATATTAAACAACTTATTTGAAAAAAATAAAATCAACTCTTCATTTAAAATTCTTTTATATTTTTTTAATATGTAAATTTTATTTTTTAATTTTAAAAAATAACTCAAGTATATTAAATTAATATTACTTAAATGTTATAAATTACTTTCTTTAGATATTTATAAATGAGAATATGTGTGTGTGTCTATATGTATGTATGTATGTGTGTGTAAATATATATACATATACATACACACACACACACAAATATATATATATATATATATATATATATATATATATATATATATATATATATATATTTATATAATTTTTAGATATATTTAAACCACCGGTTCGACCAGTAAACCAATGAACCAGTACCTTGACCGGTTCGGTCACCGGTCCAGTTCTGAAAACTATGGTATTAACTATGGTGTGTGAGTTGTAACAAATAAAGTCGTGGTAATTGTGGTATTTTAAATTTTAAAAAAAGTAATAAGAAGATCTATGTGGAAAAAATAAAAATAGCTAATAAGAAGATTTATGAAAGACGGAAAGAGCATTATCTTATTAAATGAGTGACCAAAAACTACATATTAAAAAATTATGCCAAAGTCTACAAAACGTGAGGTGACAAAAATATTACTCCCTCCGTCCCGCTATATTCGTCCACTTTTGACTTTTGGAACTATTCATCTAAGCACTTCGACTCATCAAATTCTTTCAATGTGTAAGCCTAAACATGGTCATGTGTAATCTTGTTTGATTTATCTTAACATATAGATTATTAATATATAATTTCTATAATTTTTTAATATACAAATTACAAGATAAAATGGATTAAAGAAGTGTATTGGATGATGTGCAAAAATGAAAGTGGACAAATACTCTGGGACGGAGGAAGTATATTTTATTAAATAGTCAAAGAAGATACACAAATAAACTAAAATTATTGAAAGGAAAGAGAAAAAAAAGATTGTAATCTAATTCAGGACGAAAGATTATTATCTAAAAAAGATTATTTCAATAAGATCAAAGGAAATTAGTTTTTAAATATACTACATATAATCAAATCAAAACCACTATATATATATAGTCAAAATAAAATTTGTCATCAAAGTAAATACAATTTGACCAATAATGTCAAACTATATGATGATCTTTTCAGGATGGAGGGGGTATCATATATTACAAAATTACAGTATGTTCTAAAACCTCTTTTTATCATAAACGCAACATTTATGAGTGGAAAAAATATTGGTAGCAAACAACTTCTTAGATGAACACTTGTGAACCCCGCCACAAAGTCTTTCTTCTTCAAAACTCTGTTTATTTGATCCTTAATTATTTTTAAAGAGACTTAATCAATCTCAGACTCTAGCAATTTTTTTCTTTTAAAAAAATTCATCGGAGTAAGAATAGAGGTTTAATATATTTAAAGTACTATTTTTATACAAATATATGTATATTTCAAAATCTTTAAATTTATAATACGTATAAGGTTATTGAATTGCTAACTTTACCCCTCAAAACAAAAAGAAGGTACGATACATAGTCATGCATTAGTGCAGATCGCACAGAAAACCAGCTAGTCTGTTTGCTTGCCTGAGTGTGTGGCGAATCTCTAGTTTATGATCTCTGATTAGTCTTCCAAGGATACCAGTGGGGAAGTTGGAGTGGGTAAGGACTTTTTGAAGAGCTTCCATGTGAAGATGCCGACATCGAGTTTCTGTCCTTTCCCCCATATATATTTATAGGATCTGCAAATAGGGTTAGCCACTCTACATACCTCACAAGTGCTAGAAAGACTAAATAAGTTATCAGAAGTGGGGTTCCAGGTTTAGCTCCCATCTACATGTTCATTGTTTTTGGCCTCTACAATCTCGTCAATGCATAGAATTCGTTTCCAAATGGAGGAACCAATGATATGGGAAACCATGTCACCATTTCTTTTGTATTTAGAAAGCATCAGTCTTGCCCAGATACTCGTGTTGGTTTTTTAGTTCCAACAAAGTTTAAGGCTGAAAGCAGCTTCCAGAGATCCCTAATACCAAGGCCTCCCTCCTCTTTTGGTTTACAAATCTCATCCAAGCTGATCCATGATGTTTGTTTCCCCACCAAAATCTTGACATCTTCTAAGTATTCTCTGGACAGATTTGGGAATGGTACCAGATCTAAAGAAGTAGATAGGAAGAGCGTTGAGGACATGCTTGATAAGAATGAGCCTCCCTACTTGTTCTAGCTGTTTAAATTTCCAATCTTCCTGTCAACGGCTGAGATAAGTGGAGTACAATGGCGGGGCATTCCAATCATTTTTTTTATGTTTCCGACATATTTTCATCCCTTTGTTTCAGTTAGCTTTTTTTATATATAGGTATTATACAATAAGATAATATACTATGTGGAGTCTATTAAAATCTCTTTCTTTTTTCTTCTTTTTCTTTATATAGACCCGACAAAGGAAAAAAGTGATGATGTTGCGGAGTTGAAGAAGGAAATAGACGCCTTGAGAGAGTCGATAATAAAGGTGATGACTTTTTATTTTATTTGCGTGAATAACTTAACAACATTTGTTTGTTTGTTTAAGGTTGATGAGATGCTAGCGACGGTTTCGTTGAAAGCATCTACTCTAGAAAAAGAGGTGAAGAATTTGTTAGGAAAGAGACAGGGCAATGGCAGAGATAACCATTCTTAAGAAAATATTGCTTGAGAAGATATGTATATCCTTTCCCAATCTTCTTTCTTTATTTTTTACCATGCTCACCACCAACGATGATTTTTTGGGTTTTCATCATACTTATATTGACTCGCCTAGCCTACTCGAACAGGAAAGGGATGATGTTGCACATGAGTGAATGAAAGGCACATGGAGTTTTGTTAGAAGAAACAAGGTGTAAATAGGGGCATGCATCGGGATTATCGGACTACCCCTACTTGCCCGAGGTGAAGGCATCGAGAGTGCAAAGCGTTTCCAGTAGACTTGAAGAGACGTGATTGCCTATGGCTATCTTCAATGAGGTTTGCACCCAGTTCACGTCGTATTCATCTTAGTATCCAAGTACATGTCATATCTTCTTCAAAAAAAGAAAAAAAAACACGGTTGGAATTGAATTTAGGTGAAGAAAATATGACATGTACTTGGATACTAACTAAGATGAATACAACGTGAACTGATTGATCATGCCGCAAATCTCAATGACGATAGTCATAGTTGCAATCGCGTTTCTTCCAGCCTCTTGTGGAGACGCTTCGCACTCTCGATGACTTCACCCCGGGCATGTAAGAAAGTAGGGCCAATCCCGATGCATGCTCCTATTTGCATCTTGTGTCTTCAACAAAACTCCATGCCCCTTTCATCCACTCACGCACATTACCTTCCTTTTCCTGTTCAAGAGTAGGCTAGACCAGTCAGTATAAGTATGATGAAAACCAAAAAAATCATCGTTGGTGTGAGCATTGTTAAAAAATAAAGAAACAAGATTGGGAAAGGTTATACATATCTTCTCAAGCAATTTTTTCTTAAGAATGGTTATCTCCACCATTGCCCTGTCTCTCTCCCAACAAATTCTTATGATTTCAACGAAACCGTCGACAGCATCTCATCAACCTTAAACAAACAAACAAATGTTGTTAAGTTATTTACGCAAATAAAATAAAAAGTCATCACCTTTATCGTCGACTCTCTCAAAGTGTGTATTTCCTTCTTCAACTCCGCAACATCATCACCTTTTTCTATTGTCGTTTATATGCCAATATAAAGAAAAAGAACTAAAAAAGAAAGAGATTATAATAAGCTCCACCTAACATAATATCCTAATGTATAATACCTATATATAAAAAAGCTACCTGAAACAAAGGGATAAAAATATGTCACAACCATAAAAAATTGATAGGAATGCCCCGCCATCGCCTCCGCCTCTGAAAAAAATAAAAAAGACCACTGTATAACACCGTTGAAATACTAGAGGACAAATACTATCATTTGATTGTGGAAACGTTGGCTTCATCACGCGAGATTCCTCCTCGCTAGGCACCTCCAAAAAAGCCTGATCTCCAACGCAGAAATAGGTTAGGAAAATAACTGAATCTAGCTCATTAGATACCCAAAGCAAAACATTGTAAAAAATGATTCTTTCAGCTGCATTGACAATATAAGTTTGCATTACCATCTACCAACAGGAATGAGAGGAAGAAAACTTACTCATGTTTGCCGCCTTGTTTCATCAGAGCATATGAATTCAATCATAGAAAAAACAATGGCACGAGATTCTACATTCAAGTCTATACATCCAGATTCCTTCCTTCAGAGCACATCCATTTCATCATCGTCTCATAAGAGATTGTGTCAGACTTCAAACCACGTGCTAACATTCTTCTAAAAACAACCTCTGCCTCCTTGACCTTCCCTGCTCGAAACAAAGACAACACGAGACAACTATTGCACTCGTCATTTGAAATACCACCATTCCCACCAACCCGATCCACGACCTTATGAGCCTCCTCTATATGCCCATCCATGCACAGTCCCCTGCACCAGAGTGGTCATCAACACTCTATTCGGCTTACACCCGAAAGCATCCATCTTGTCTAGTTCATCTTGGGAGATGCTTTATGTGATTGGTACATTTTAGATGTGACATATATAGTGTTTATTAATACTTCTTGTTACGGGTTTGATTGAAATACTCATTTACATATACAATGACATTGCAAAATTACCAACACATAAACAATATTTTTAGGTGTAATATTTACAATCTTAAATTTTTTTATATATAGACAATAATCTTATATGACAAAACTATCATAGAAAATAAACATTGGTGTAAATTAATGCAAAATGCAAGTTACATATATTAGTGATACATGTATGTAAAATCACAAACGTAAGAAGATTGAGTTGAAGCTAAGTGATCCTCATCATCACCAACAAAACTATGTGGCTAAAAGTACTCGCCATGTGCTCTAATTTATATTGTAATGTTCACTGCCCTCCTATTGTTTTTTTATGAAGAACAATGTTCAAAAAAGGAAGGATAGTGCAACCAAATCTTTGGGAAGAAAAAGGAACAACAAAGAAATAATAGAGCAAATTAAAAGAGAAAAAAAAACAAAAAATGAAGACAGTGAAAAAAGAGATACAAAAGGTGATTGATGGAGCCTTGGGAGTTGCGAGAATGAAAGAGAGAAGAGAAATGAAAAAGAAAAGAGAGTATTTAAATAGGGACAAAATTGGAGGCATAAGTGGTGGGCTAATAGCTCTATCCAATTCAATTCCAATTCTCTTCTATAGCTTCAAGATTCCCAAGGTCTACTTATGGCAGTCTATGGCCAGCACCGGAGGAATCAATGAAGCAGCCGATCTTTCTTTTTTTTTAAATGTATGGGAAGCATTCAAGATTAATTTCAATGCTTGATCCATGGAAATTTTTACTAGATTATTACTACTATCACTACTAATTCAGTTATATATATATATATATACACACACATTGTTGGAAAAATCACCTCAATTTTCTAGCGGAAACAATTAATAATTTTCCCATCTTTGTGGGCAAAATCATATGGCCGATCAAGAATAGTAAACACGACAACAAGCAATCAATAAACGAACACCAAGATTTAATGTGGAAACTCCAAGTTAAGGAAAAAACTACGAAGCCTTCCACTAATTACCAAGAAAAATCAGTGGGTACATTCAAGAATCCTCTCTAAATCAATTAGAGGTACACACAATCATCAAGCAACAACTTGGAACACCAAACAACAAAAATCTTCACTCAAAAGTGCGAAAATCATACAAAAAATGTAGCAAAGAAACAGAGGCTATTTTACTGACATCGAGAGGTCAAAACAACAATTCCATCGTTGGATATGAAGAAGAGGATGTCAGGAACAACATACCAACCGGTTGAACCGCGAGCCAGACACCTATCCGGTCCGATTCAACATTAAAACCCACTTTTGCTTTGACCCGCTCAAACCCGGAAGAACCGGGTGACCCAGCCAGTTCCCGGGTTTAGATCAAAATGACTACTTCCTCTAATTTGAATTAGTAAAAGAAAGGCACGAAGACAAGAATCGAACCTGAGACCTAGCATTAGGGGGGTTTTATCCAAATGGGCAACTATGACTTCTGATTCAAAGTCCTTGCACTAAGACTATGAAATATATTAGCGTATTTAATCTATTAAGAAAATAATTTTAAAAGACCTTTTATTACTTATAAAGAGAACTATATTTATATGATATATTTATATTATTAAATTTTAAAATAGTTCTAACTTGAAAACAATTAGTATTGTTTATTTTTTTTATCTTAAGAAAAATATAAACAATCTATACTTAAAGTATTATTTTCATCTTTAAAAATATCAACTATAATTTAATATGTTTTTTTATTTTATATTTTCAATCAATTAATACACTAAATAATAATTTTAGTCGTAAAATATAAATAGTATATAAGAACATATTATCTACTCTTTATTTTTAAACAATATGAGCATTACCTTATTATTTAAATATCTGTTAGATATTCACTATCAGTTTTTAATAATAATAAAAATAATTAAATAAAAATTATGAAATAATATATGCACAGTGATATTAAAAACTAGATTGAGATGTAAAAAAACAAACTAAATACTTTTTTTAACTAAAAATGTCTATCTAATAATACAATATAAAATATCAGCATTTTAATTAATAATTTGACCGGGCCGTTGACCCCAGGGTTGACCGGTTCAACCGATTAGCCCTTGACCCACTCTCTCGTCCGGGTCGACGTCTGGTCCGGTTTTCAAAACATTGGATTTTTTGGGTTGCTTATACTGACTTGAACAGGAAAGGGTTGCTCGTGACTGGAAGAAAGAGGCGTGGGGTTTTGTGAGAAGACACCGGGTGCAGCTGCATCAGCATTGTGGGGTTGGCCATACTCGCCCGGGGCGAAGCGGAGGGGGGTGCAAGGTGGCGTCTCGAGGAGGCTGGCAGGGGCTTGGTCTCAAGTATGGCGATCATCAACCAGGTGTGCGGCGCAATGTGTTTTTGTTTTTCTCTTTGGAGTTCAAACTCAGCTTTCTTAGCTTAAAAAATGTTTCTGGTGTGGAGCATTTATGAATATCATTACTACTAAGACATCTACAAAGGTAAGATGGATGACAATTTAGGTCAACCCGGGTCACCCGGTTCGCCGGTTTTTCCGTGTTTGAGCGGGTCAAAGCAAAAGTAGGATTTAATGTTGAATCGGACCGGATAGGTGTCTGGCTCGCGGTTCAACCGGTTGGACCGGCAGGCCCGGTCCATTTCTAATAACATTGAAAAAATCTGCGCCGGTGTAAGGATTGCTAAAAAAAAGTAAAGAAGATTGGGAAAGGACATACATACCCTGTCAAGTAATTTCTTCTCGAGGAGGGCTATCTCGGCCCTTGCCCTATCTCTCTCACCGAGCAAATTCTTCACACGTTTTTCCAAAATAGATGCTCTCAACAAAACCTCTGACAACATCTCATCAACCTGAAAAAAACAATCAGATGTTGTCAAGTTATCCACGCAAATAAAATCTTTATCTATACAAAGCTAATGTGGTAAACATGAACAGTGCATTTTCCCGCCCAAGCTATTTCAATTCGGGTTTAAATACAAGCTATTTGGAAAACGTCAGATCATATTTAAATTACACTGAGGAAATGTGTGATGGTGCCTTGGGTATTGTAAAGGCAAACTTTTCTGCTGCCTGCATTTAATTCGGTATAATGGCTGGCCTTTCCAAAGGGTTTTGTGTCCCGCCCAAAGTTGTGTCCTGTATCTACCGTTGATTTAGATTTCCGGAGCAATGGACGGTAATTGATTACCCTTGGAAACACGCATTGAGCCGCCTACATTTAATGGTGTTTTGGGAATACACACGCCCGTGATATGCTTGGGAATAGGCAATTGCCATTAATCTTTCGGTTCTAGGGTTTTTAACTTCGCCTCTCCCCTGGCTTCTTGAAAAATGAGAAGAAATCCATTCTTTTCTCCAGTGAAATCAGCCAACGAGATGACCGGATTACATCTACTGTCTGGTGGCTGGAGACGATGGTTGTCGGTCGGCTGACTTTGTCTTCGGTCATACCTTTTAGACCACTGTCGTCGTTTGTGAGCTTCCCACTCCAAAGCTAAAGTATTCCATCATCGACTTCTTTAATCTTTTGTTGTGTTCTAATGTAGAGTGAGAAGGAATGCAGTGCCAAACAATTATTTCAACCATTGCCTCGCCTATTGTTGGCAATTCATACGATGGAGTATTCATCGGGTGGGAGCACCCTCTTTCTCTTTTTGTTTCAATTTGTTTATATTTATAGGAATTACAATGATATTTTCATACTTTTGGTATTTGTTGTTTTCATGTTTACCACATTTTTGGACTTTACTTTGGAATAAGTTAGGAAAATGATTGACTACCCTAAACACATAAAGCAAAGGAGGGGCCACAGGAGAATTTGAAGGTCCAAATGCGTATACACCCTTCTAATTTCTCCATTTTCTTTGATTCAACTTTCCTTTAAATTTGTAAGAAATTTGTTATTATGATTTCTTAGCAAGTTCATTCATGTGTTTTGTAAATATTATAGAGAGTTAGTAAAGTTTGAAAAGGAGAAATTTATAAAAGTGTAATACAAATATTCTTATAACAGATTAAGAATTTGTATTTTGTTGTGACATAACCTTCACGGGAGATACATCACTTTTTTATCTTGATCCTGAATGTGACCTAAGGGCAGAAATTCTTATCCCTGATTGAGTATTTTGGCTTCTATTACTTTTATATTCTATATTTCTTGGTTCACTTATGTAAGCTCTAAATAGTCCGAGTGGAAAGAAACAAGAAAATATTAGCATCAATTCTTTCTTCTACCCTATGTTTTTAACATTTGTCAAAAATATTTGCATGTTCTCTTATCTGATATTGTGCTTTATCTCTTTGATAGTGTTTTTTGAATGTTTGTATCTATTATTATTGTTTGGGTGACATAGATTAGTAATTTGACCATTGTCTTCATAGTTCATAGTTAAGAGCATGTTGGAATATTTCTTATTAGACGAAAATTAGTTAATTTTTGATGAATTTAACTTTAAATTTATCTTATGTAAAGTAGGATCATTGGCCTACACAACAAGACTCTTGGTTTCTTCTATGTTTTGTGTCACCACCTTCTGCAACAAGGACAAATTTGTAGTTAAATTTAATTTCCTTTTTGGCTATGTATTTAACTGCAGGAAAAGCTTCAACCTTAAGGTCGCGCTACTTTGGAAGTGTGGTGCTACTGTTGAAGCACGGAAATTCCTATCTCAGAGAAGAAGACTCAAGGTATTTTTAAATTTTATGTTATCTTTTTCAATGTTTTGGTGTTTTTAATTCCAAAATCATATTCAGAGTAATTGATTATCCATAATTAAATATATTCAAAGTTAATTTCTAGAAACTCAAAAAAGGTGAGACTTTAGTTAGAAAACAACCACAACAGCATATGCAAGTAATAGTAGGATTTAATTTCAAAAGGTTATTTTCATTAAAAGTTAAAACAATGGTCTACTGCTTCATAGCCCTCACTAATGAAGTATTTTTTTTATTTTTGTTTTGTCATTTTAAAAATAATAATTGGAAAATATCTATTGTCATATTATATACATGATGATTTTTGATATTATTGACTAAAGAAATAGTTGAGATATTGTTCATCAAACTAACCATGGAACAAACTTAAAGAGTTGTTATTAAAACCCAATAAAAGTAACAAGCCTTGGAGAGGGGCATTATAAAAGACACAATGCTGGAATGCTCAATTGTTTTAAGAGCATAACATTAGTGCTGATAACTCATTTTCATTGTTCTATAAGAATGTGTTTTACTTTTAGTTGTTTGACTCAAGCATCATGCATTTTTCACTTGGGTTGATGAAGTTTTATTGTGTTAATGTACTTGCAAGATGATTTGGACTTTAACAAGAAGTTGGGAAAAGGATAGTTTAGTTCCGTTTATAGAGTTTCTTTGGCAAAAAAAGTACTATTAAGGTTGAAGGGGTCTATTTGATGAAAGTCCTCATATGAATGTATACACCTGAGCCAAGAGAGTATTATCAATTTCTTGCATTATGGTTCTTTTTTAATTTTAAATTTCTAAGTGTTCTCATTAGGCTAAAATTTGGTCTTTTTATTTTTTTTTGTAAAGGCAAAATTGTTTGGGCTCATGTGTTGATTCACAATATGAGTTTTTCCTGGATATTGATCTTTTCCTACCAACTTATTCTATAAATACAGTTACTATTTGAATTTGTATAATCCGTTGTATAGCTAATGACTAAACTGTATCAAAAAGAAAAAAAGGAAGGCTAATGGGAAAAGGCACATTTGACCATCTATCTTGGATTTATTAGGGTACGTTCATGCATTTGGTTTGTCTCTTTTAGCCTACTTTATTGATCCTTTCATGATGGTAGTACTACCAGTCAAGAGTGAGTACTCTATTATTTAATCTCTTCTATATATAAAGCAATAGAAAAATCTTATGCCTAATGACAGGTGATTTTCATAATTTTGATAAATATTGAGGTACTAATGTACTATCAAGATTCAAGTGACAAGAATTACAAAAGCCTGTTACTAGAAGTTAAGTAAGTTTATCCAAAAGGTTTTTGCTTGCAATCCCAAGTCAATAATAGAAGCCACGCCATACTTAATATCGTGTCTTTTTTGTGCCAACTTGCAGAACAATTTCTTAAATAAAAGAGAAACAAAAATATGCCGACATGCATAATTTTTGAAGCCCATACATAGATATTTTTCCATAGCATGTATGGAACAACATGTCAATTGAATTTTACCTTGAAAACCAAAATAAAGCATGGTTAATTTTTTATTAGATTCTAACCTTCTTCTATATTAACACACTTGCATTATTCCATATTATCTACCATCTTCCATATTAACACACTTGCATAATTCCGTATGGAATATATTGACCGTGCAACTCACAGGTTGAGATACTAGTAAAGAGATACTAGTAAAAGTCAACTCACCTTCTCCTTTGAGTCCCTCAAGGCAAGTATTTCCTTCTTCAGCTTCGAGACATCACCAGCTTCTTCCATTTTCGCTTATATGCCTATATAAAGAAAAATAAGCAAAGAGAAAGAAATCGTAATCAAACCCACCTCGCGTATTATTCTATTATATAATACCTAAATCTATACATGTATATAAAAGATACCTGAAACAATAGGATGTAAACATGTTAGAATCATAACAAAATTGATAGAAATACCCCGCCATCACCTCCGCCTCTGGGAAAAAATATAACACCGTTAAAATACTAGCAAACACTATCTTGTCCCAATAATTCCCATGGAGTATAAGAGAAGTCCATAAAATAAGGGGGGAGGTCTAGAGACTGGTGTGCATCATTTGCCGCAAGTAAACAGTATTCATAAGATAACTAAGCCTTCAGCAAATAAAGTTGACAATGGATGCTCACATGAACCCATGACTGAAGAAAATATAACAAATAAAAACATAGCACAGAATATAATTATTAAGGTGCTCTCTAGAGATTGTTTTTCTTTGATGTTATGCACACACAAAACATATGGATGACAAATTGGCACAAATCCAGCTCCAATTGCAGAAATTAATGGAGGGGATGAACATCATCAACCATTCCGGCTCAAAGGGATTCTTGAAAAATTAGAGATAACTGATAAGGATAAGGAGATCAATTCATCTCAGATGTACAAGGAGAGGGAGATCGATTCATTTCATGTGAACACACACCATGACAGCTCTCATCATAATTCATCTACTGGTAATGCTTTCACCCGATTCTCCAGGTCAGACTTTCCAAAATTCTCTGGTCAAGATCTTAGAACTTGGTTATACAAGGTAGATCAGATTTTTGCCATGGATGTGATTCCTTTGGAGCAAAGGGTTAAAGTTGCAGCTATACACTTGGAAGGTGAAGTCATTTCTTAGCATAGGTCATATATGTGAGATATAAATCTCAACAGACTATAATTGGACAGAATACGCCTAAGCTTTACATGAAAGGTTTGGTGAAAAAATAACCCCTGCAGAAATGGATAGAAAAGGAATCACATCCATGGCAAAAATCTGATCTACCTTGTATAATTAAGTTCTAAGATCTTGACCAGAGAATTTTGGAAAGTCTGACCTGGAGAATCTGGTGAAAGCATTGCCAGTAGATGAATTATGATGAGAGCTGTCATGGTGTGTTCACATGAAATGAATCGATCTCCCTCTCCTTGTACATCTGAGATGAATTGATCTCCTTATCCTTATCAGTTATCTCTAATTTTTTCAAAAATCCCTTTGAGCCGCAATGGTTGATGATGTTCATCCCCTCCATTAATTTCTGCAATTGGAGCTGGATTTGTGCCAATTTGTCATCCATATGTTTTGTGTGTGCACAACATCAAAGAAAAACAATCTATAGAGAGCACCTTGATACTGCGCCATGTTTTTATTTGTTATACTTTCTTCAGTCATGGGTTCATGTGAGCATCCATTGTCAACTTTGTTTGCTGAAGGCTTAGTTATCTTATGGATACAGTTTACTTGCGGCAAATGATGCACACCAGTCTCTAGACCTCCCCCCCTTATTTTATGGACTTCTCTTATACTCATGGGAATTATTGGGACAAGATAGTGTTTGCTAGTATTTTAACGGTGTTATATTTTTTTCCAGAGGCGGAGGTGATGGCGGGGTATTTCTATCAATTTTGTTATGATTCTAACATGTTTACATCCTATTGTTTCAGGTATCTTTTATATACATGTATACATTTAGGTATTGTACAATAGAATAATATGCCAGGTGGGGTTGATTATGATTTCTTTCTCTTTGCTTATTTTTCTTTATATAGGCATATAAGCGAAAATGGAAGAAGCTGGTGATGTCTCGAAGCTGAAGAAGGAAATACTTGCCTTGAGGGAGTCAAAGGAGAAGGTGAGTTAACTTTTATCTCTTTACTAGTATCTCAACCCGTGAGTTGCACGGTCAATATATTCCATACGGAATCATGCAAGTGTGTTAATATGGAAGATGGTAGATAATATGGAATAATATAATTGTGTTAATATATCTAATCAAAAATTAGCCATGCTTTATTTTGGTTTTCAAGGTAAAATTCAGATTAACTATTGACATGTTGTTCCATACATGCTATGGAAAAATACCTATGTATGGGCTTCAAAAATTATGCATGTCGGCATATTTTTGTTTCTCTTTTATTTAAGAAATGGATAGAAAAGGGATAAAAGGATTGTGCCTCTTTGGTAATGGGAGGTACGTTGTGGTCATAGATGCGCAAACAAGAAACAAATATTCTTGGTAGAAGTGGCAGAAGATGACCTAGAGACTGATGAAGGAATGATAAATTTGGAACCAGAATTATCCATGATATGAAGCTATTAAGATTATTGAGCATCACAAAAGACAACCATTACAGATCTTAATTGATACACACATCACTCACAACTTCAGGGACCATGAGAAGGCCAAATGGTTGGTTGGTCCTGCCAAAGCAGTCCATAAGGGTAGTAGATGGTAGAAGGGTACAAACACCTCGTATCTATAAGGGAGAGCAGTGGGTAGTGGGTACTACCAGAATTCCAGGTGGGAGGAGTTATTCATTTGATGGTCTGTGAGTCTACTATTGAATATAAGGAGACTGATAACAAGGCTGCAGATGCCAGGAAACAAGGAATTGAGCTCTTGGTCATATCCCCCCTCATTGCTCTAGACTCGTCCTTGTTTGAAGAAATCAAAGGATATATCACTCCAAATGTTAGAATATGTACAAACAAATGTGATGTGTGTCAAAGACATAAATATGATGATGCTACTGCTAATCCAGCTAGAGAAGCTAGCATTCAATTGCTCAAGCATCAGATCTATAGAGCACGGAAAAGAAGGAAAAACAAAGCATATAAGTACCGAACTTATAAGCAAGTTGAAGGGGGGAGATTGTGTCTATAAAGCAGTTACACAGGTTAAGGTGGAATGGTCTAAATTGGCAGAATGGGAGTAAGCATTTTACATGGAAGTACCTCACAACATTGCAGCGCATATGTTTTCAACCATTCAAAAGAGGACAAGTCTGTTGAGCAGACTTGTGCAAAGATTAAGGGGATCTTGAGATCAGTACTTGTGCAGAGTTGGAAATTACTACCTCCGTCCCATTGTCTTTGTCCACATTTGACTTTTGGAACGGTTCATCTAAGCACTTTGACTCATCAAATTCTCTTAGGGTCCGTTTGGTATACGAAATTGGTGGAATTGGAATTGAATTGGAATTGAAATTCCATGGGATTCAATTCCATAGAATTGAATTCTGCCAATTCCAATTCATTTTTTGCACTATCAATTCCAAATCCACATAATTTTTGTGCTACCAAATACCAGATTTGGAATTGAAGTCCTCAATTCCAATTCCATAGTTTGAATTCTATGTACCAAACGGGACCTTAATGTGTAAGCCTAAAAATAGTTGTGATCTTGTTTGATTCGTCTTAACATATAGATTATTAATATATAATTTGTATAATTTTTTAATATACAAATTACAAGATAAAACGGATTAAAGAAGTGCATTGGATGTTGTGCCAAAAGGTAAGTGGACAAATACAGCGGGAGCGGGAGGGAGGGAGTAGTTAGCAATAGGGTAAGCTTGTACGGAGTAATTCATTTCTTTTATTCCCTGACCACTTTTGTTAATCTTTTTTATACCCATCTAAGTAGAATGATAGAAAACAAGATTAAAAAAAAAAGTAGCAAAAACCAAAGAGGGTATGGTCAAACCTGTGAGACGTACCGCCTATGGAAAAATCGAGCTTGTCGCCGGCGGGTCTTCACCTTCGTGCTTCCGTCTTCAATTTCAGAATTCGCAATTGAGAGGAGTACAGGAAATAGAGATTTGCCTACAGGGTAGTCCTATAGGGAGCATTTGGGCTTGCTAGACAATTACAATAGTGAAACTAACCTAATTGGAATGGGCTGGACAGGAGAGCAAAACAAAAATTCTAAAATAATTATGAATGGGGTAGATTTAGACAAATGAGATCTGCATTTAGCCTCACCCTTTATATAACTATATGTTTATCCTATCTATATGTTATACGGAGTATGATGTTTTATACTTGTATATCTTAAATTTACAAATAAGTTGTTGGATTCCTAGGTCCATGGTACCTAAAACTCAATTGAAGAAGAATTGTGATAAGAAAAATGCTAGGGGTACATTTGTCCCCCACCCCCTCCATTACCACAAAAATGAGCAAAAATTTTAAAAAAAATTAAATAAATAAAAAGTAGATAAAAATGAATGGTGAAGAAGGGGGTGGGGGACAAATGGGGTACACATTTGGTGTACCCTAGCATGGCTCTTGTGATAATAGTAAAGAAAACATGTAAAAGATGATGAGTAGTAGTATTGAGTATAGTGGTGAAATGTGTCCACATCCTCTAAGAGTGGTATAAATAGGAGAAATTAGGGTTAGGGTTCAAGTCCAACCATATTCTAGTCTAATAGACCAACCCAATCAATACGCGATCAACGGGCCAGCCCAAAAAATTGGACTGTCCCAGCTAAGAATATGCAAAGAACAAATATACTCATGTCTAGAGCACCTATCACTTATAACAAATCTTAAATATATAAAACATACACATTAAAATATTATTGGTATTTCATATTATTTTGTACTTCCTCTGTTCTAAAATTAGTTTTCCAATAGTCCAATACTATTCAATAGTTGAACTTTAATAATTTTTTACTCTGTACTTATTTTCACTGGTCGTATGATACAATAATGACAATGAATTTAATCTCAAAAAATTATTAAAATAGTAATTAAAAAGTTTGAAAAAATAGAAACTTAATTCAAGGAGTGCATTATATATTTGTTTAATTATTATTATTTTCACTTCAGATTTTATTTTTATGATGTTTAAATGGTTCACTTTAACATTTTATTCTATTAATATTTAACTTTTTTTCATATACACAAATTAACTTCTCTAACGTTATCTTACTCAACACTATCAATTAGGGATTTAACACTTTTAATTGTAGAAAACTTCTTTCGGATATTCTCGATTTTTCAAGTAAGAATTCTTAAGTCACACATTATCTAGAATACACTTCAAGGTACTTTCGATTTTTAAGTAAGAACTTTTAGTTTTCACATTATTCAAATATACTTCAAGATCTTCAAAACTTGTTATATTATGAAAAAAATTAAAGTAGAGTAAGACTTTAAAAATATATCAAAATAGAAGTTTCTAACATAAATTGTCACATTAACAAATTTTGAAATTACTGTCCATTTCCCTATTTCTCCTAAATTTGAGCAATACTTTGAAAATTTGTTAATGTTACACTATATGTTGATATTTCACACTAACAATAATATCATATTTGTTAATGAGACACTTTGGACCTGTTTGGGAATAGCTTTACGATTAGCGTTAGCGTTTTCAAAAGACTATCGACGGGCAGCGTTTAGCGTTAGCGTTTTCAAATTAATTTGCACTGTTAAAATTTTATCCAAAACGCTAACGCTAATCGCTAACGCTATTTCCAAACAAACCCTTTATGTTGGTATTTCAAAATATTTTTTTGGTACTTTATATTGAGATTATTATATTGTAACTCTTATTTTAGAAATAAAAAGGTAGAAAATAAATTATAAATTCTCTTTTTACCCATATTTAGTTTCAAGAGTTTTTCTTTCCTTTTTTTAGCAGATTATACTGTTGTACATTTGGTTGTACCATTTTTTCTGGCACAATCAACAATTTGATCGAAGGAAGGAGAGGGTTGTTGACTATGAAGGGGAGGCAGACGTCTAATAATGAGTATTATTTTATTTTAGAATGAATATTATGTTATTCTTAAGAATTAAGTTAGGGGCACACCAACATAGGGTACCCCAAGTGTACACCAAAGCCAACACAGACATAAAGTGTCTGTGTTGCACGGATATTTTGTGTCTGTGTGTGTCTGTGTTGGCTTGGTGTACACTTGGGGTACCCCATGTTGGTGTACCCCTAGCATTGCCCTATTCTTAATATTTCCCGTCCAATATTTCATTGACCTTCGTATAATACCCCTGTCTCCATCTTGACAATCTTTCTTCTATGTCCGCCATTCATCCTCCCCACTTCGATCCGATCTGTGAGCTTCATGTTTCAAATCTCCATGGCTCCCACAAGCACCTCCATCAGATCTTCACCGAGATTATGTTCACCGATGACTCGTCAGATCTTCATATCTTCACCTTCATCAGATCCTAAGATCTTTCGTGCTCAGATCTTCACCAATAGTCAAATCGTCGTTGCTTGTGAAGTTTGTCGATAAAGTTGCTCCTCCACCCCCACTCTCACAATCGCATAAGCCATTGACACACTTTTTCACCCTTAGATCCAACTATGTTCAATAGGGTAGTAGGGGTGGTGGTGAGGGGGTGGGGGAATCAATCAAAGAAGAAGAAAAATAAATCACTAATGTTGTGGGTGCGAAAAGAAAAAAGAAGAAGAATGAGTGTGTTGTGGGATATGAAAATGGAAGAAGAAGAAGAAGATTTTTATTTTTTGAAATCAAAGAAGAATGAAGGTAAATTGATGAGCCTCTCCAGTGGAGGTGATACTTCGTATATTGACTGTGGGGAGAAGTAAATGAAGAAAAAGATAGGAGGGGTATAATAGACATTTTCAAATGGATTCTTTGCCTAAAATAGAAATATAATTTTTAGACAATCAAATAAGGAAAGTGGAAAGATAATTTGTGGACGGAGGGAGTAAAATATTACTATGTATAATTGTACTAAAAAATGTATCAAAATAAATAATAGGTTATTTTAGACAATATGCTATTTATGTTTCACCTAATTATTTTACTCCCTCCGTCCCCCATAGATCTTCTCAATAGCCCTTTTTCTTTGTCCACAATAGATCTTCTTATTTCATTTTTTAACAATTAAAATACCACAACTACCCCCACTTACTTTATTTATTACACTTCACCCACCTCATTTAATACACTCTACCCATTTTCATTAAGGGTATTATGGTAAACTTTCACATTTTTTCAACCATCCTTAAAAACCACCAAAAGTCAAAATGAGAACATCTTAGGGGGACGGAGGGAATAATATTTTTCCCTTTCCAAAAAGATTTTTTATTTCATTTTTGCACATTCTATAAAACAATTATGTGCACATTTAAAATATATAAAATTTATCAATGCTTACTGAAATGTTTTTGGAAGGGAGGGTGTAATATTTTTAGGACTTAGGAGATCAATCCACTAGCCCATCTTCTTTTCCTTCCAGGCCTTGCAGGACAAGCGATCGTTAATCGGAGAAGACGATCCTCTGCAGCAGCATCTGTCGGTTAAGCTTGACAATCGTGCTGACGGAGAGCCTTGCTTGGCACTTTCCCAGCATCTGTTGGCCTAAGCTTGCCATTGGGAACAAGCATCGCCGGCCATCCGTTAGCCGAAGGCTGAATCTCCGCCGGCAGCTTCCCGATCGAAGTTTGAATTGTCCCTGGCAATTTGACACTGTGCCTAATATCTCGAAGAAACTGAACAGAAGTTTAAGTTCCTGGTTGGCTACATACAGTAAGCCTTAAAAGATGGAAGAAGAAGAAAAGAGGGAGGTTTTCTTTGAGACACGCCATCACGCGTCTGGGCCTCATTGCTCCAATTATCCGCCTACAATCAGGAATCAGCATCAAGAGGTCCTCCAGCAATCCATGGTCTTCTCGAACTGGCTATTAGTTTTTTTATTTCTTTTGGCCCTTGTTGATGAAGTTTACTTTTTTTTTCTGTTTACTAATAATTTAGCAGAGGGAAGGTTCTAAAGGGAGTTACCTCTCAAGATTGCTTTCTTCCCGAGGTATAGTCAGCTTTCGCTTAATGTGATTCACATTAAATTTGATATTTGATGTTTAGGGCATATGAACTTTGAAGTGTGCATTTGTGTATTGGAATAACACCCAAATTAAAGGTCTGTTGTTGACTAAGAGTAGAAAATAATATTTTAAACAAGGGGCCTGTTTGGGAATAACATCAGAGATTAGCATTAGCGTGCGTTTTGGATAAAATTTTAACGGTGCAGATTACTTTGAAAACGCTAACGCTAAACACTGGTTGTAGATAGCCTTTTCAAAACGCTAACACTAATCTCTAACGCTATTCCCAAACAGGCCCAAAGTTTATGAGGGCATGATCCTCAACCATTACATATTTCTGCCAATTTAAAGTGTTCTTTATCAAAGAAAATGTGATGGGTGCCATCTTTTTTTACCAAATTATAGTGTTCTTTTATGTCAATTCCCTGAAAGCCGTCGGGTAATATTCTCACTGTACATGAAGGTATTGCTCAAATTAAGGAGAAATGGAGCACCTACAAGCTTCCAAAAAGATCAAGGAAATTCGCATCCCTCTTTGTTTCCCCCGGGGGTGATCTCGTGGCTGTAGCAACTGGGAACCGGATAACAATATTGAAGAAGGAGGATGACTACCAGGAACCCCGTGGAATTTTTACCTGTAAGGATCATATGCGCTGTGCCAGTGTAAATTCCTGACAAAAATATGAGTGCTTTAAACAAGACATACATGATACTCATATGTTACAAGGCCACTTTCCAGTGAAATCTGGTGTTTTTGGACACTTCCAAACCAAATCCATGCTGGATTATTTCCCTGTTAGAGTTTTTTCCTTGTTCTTGATTTATTTGCAGTGGGGAATGAGTTTTTACATTCACAAGTAGTTCTTGGAGTTGTTTAATAGACCTGTAGATGTAAATTGCCACAAACTTGTCAGTTTCTTTTGCATGTGACTTGTTACATACTGCCTCAGGATTTTTATTTTTAGTTTTTACTTTGGCATAGGTGAAAACAATACTACAATTTTGTTTGGGGCTTGGGCAGAAACTCATGATTCCCTTGGTGTTGTTGATGATGCGTATACGCTTTATCTAATAAGAGGTAATGGTGAAGAGATAACAAGATTTCCAAAGAGGCTCTTGAAAGCATCTTCACAAATAGTAGGCTTAGTGGTGCAAGATGACATT